TTTTTTTTTTCAGATGTTTTGGGTCTGCCGTGGGTTGAATCCACGAATGCAGAAGGCCAACTGTATTTTATTATTTGATTTTTTTTTAAAGATTGATTTATTTATTTGAAAGGCAGAGTGAGAGAGAGGCAGAGGCAGAGAGATCTTCCATCTGCTGGTTCACTCCCCAAATGGCTGCAACAGCCAGAGCTGGGTTGATCCAAAGCCAGGAGTCAGGAGCTTCCTCTAGGTCTCCTACACAGGTGCAGGGACCCAAGGACTTGGGCCATCTTCTACTGTAGCAGAGAGCTGAATAGGGAGTAGAGCGACTGGGACTCGAACTGGCACCCATATGAGATGCAGGCACTGCAGGTGGCGGCTTTACCTGCTACGCCACAGCACCAGACCCCTATTATTTAACCTTGCTGTGTTTTACTTCCTTGCCTGATCACAGAGGAAGATATAAAAAGTGCAGCTGAATCAAGGAACCCAATGAAGCTGGCGCCGCGGCTCACTAGGCTAATCCTCCGCCTTGCGGCGCCGGCACACCGGGTTCCAGTCCCAGTCGGAGCGCCAGATTCTGTCCCGGTTGCCCCTCTTCCAGGCCAGCTCTCTGCTGTGGCCCGGGAGTGCAGTGGAGGATGGCCCAAGTGCTTGGGCCCTGCACCCCATGGGAGACCAGGAGTAGCACCTGGCTCCTGACAGCAGATCAGCGCGGTGCGCTGGCCGCAGTGCACCGGCCGCGGCGGCCATTGGAGGGTGAACCAACGGCAAAAGGAAGACCTTTCTCTGTCTCTCTCACTGTCCACTCTGCCTGTCAAAAAAATAAAAAAGGAACCCAAAGAAAAGACAAAACCAGCACTCCCCGGCTCAGACATCACAGCACCCTTCACCCTCAGAGAGATCCCTGTTTGATGTGCTGGCACTGGGGCAGCCCTGCCTCTGGGGAAGGGCACCCCAGGGCCCAGATGCACCTGCCACCCCTCTCTCTGCCCCCCAGGGCCTTCCTCCGGATGCTGTTTCCCGAGAAGCTGGACGTAGACAAGAAGGGCCGCCCCAGCACTGCCGGCTCCAAGATCAAAGTGAGGCTTCGACCCAGTGTTCCAGTCCCCAGACCCCATCTCTCCCCCATCCCCCGGGGCCTCTGCCTCTGTTTCTGGCACCCTCCATACCACAGAAGTCTCCTCCAGCTCTGGGTTTGGGAGTTTTCAAGCAGCTTCCTTGACATCCCCCTCAAATACCTAAATTGAACTTTTAGGGAGATGTTGATAATTTGTTTTTAATGCGGTAAAACACCCACATAAAGTGGACCATCTTACCCATTAAGCACATTCCTGTGGCTGTTGAACCCTGACCACCATCAGTTTCCAGAACTTTCTTCTCTTCCCAAAGTGCAACTCCGCCCCCAGGAGACAACTCACTCCCCTCCCTCAGCCCCTGGCACCTCCCACACACTCTACTTCCTGTCTCTGTAGCTCTGATGACCCCAGGGACCTCCTAGGAGTGGAGTCACATGGGGCTTGTCCTTTTGTGTCGCATGACTCATATCCCATTGTGTGGATGACCACACTGTGTGCACCCACTCACCCGTCAGTGGATATCCGGGCTGCTTGCACCCGTGGCTGTGAACGTGGGGGTCCCGTCCTGGTGATAGTTTAACACCTATCTTACATACAGGAGGAACTAGCTTCATCCAACACCCCCGTCCTCCCACCTTGAACAGTTTCCTTTCTGGTCCTCCCCCTCCCCCTGAGCAACCCAAGGCTCCCCTCCCAGACACACACGTGATCCCCGACGCCCAAAGTTCCCGTCCCCATGAAGGGCGGGCAGAAATGAACTCTCCTCACTGCTCTGTGAAGCAGTCAGCCAGGCCTTCTAAGCACTGTCTGGGCCAGGCTGCAGTGAGTGTGGCAAAGGTGACAGTGCCAGTGTGACAGTCTGCGGGCTGGGTACACACACAGCAGAGACGCGGGTTCCCTGTGGTGCACTGCACGCCAGCCCCGTTCCCCATGCCCCCTAGACATCCGAGTCTCCTGGGGCTGGGGCGGAGACGAGGCCCGACGATCCCACCTGTGCGCCCCCTCCCCTTCTCCTCGCTGCAGAAACAAGCCAACGACCTGGTGGCCACGCTGAAGAGGTGCATACCCCACTACATCCGCTGCATCAAGCCCAACGAGACCAAGAAGCCCCGGGACTGGGAGGAGAGCAGGTGAGACCAGGCTCAGCCCCAGGTTTACACTGAGAGCTGACTGGGACCTCCAGGATGACCCCAGCCTGTCTGTGGGCTGACCAAGCGGCTAGCCCAGGCCCCCCACTTTCCCCAGACCCCACCCCCAGTACTGACTGCCAGGACGAGAAAAGACCCCTTCCCCAAGATCCCACCCCCACAGAAGTCACCCCCAGACTGATCCCTGAGCCGCCTCCCCAGGTCTCACCCCACCCCCAATCATGCAGGCCTCCAGCCCCCCACCCGCAAGGGACTCAGACCCCTCTCCCTGCCAGGGTCAAGCACCAGGTGGAGTACCTGGGCCTGAAGGAGAACATCCGTGTGCGCAGGGCGGGCTTCGCCTACCGCCGCCAGTTTCCCAAGTTCCTGCAGAGGTGAGCAGCCCCCAGCCCCTGCACTCAACGAACCCCATCCCCCCTTCAGAATGACAGACCCGCCCTGTCTGCTCCGACCACACACACACACACACACACCGCCCCTCTGCCTCCAGGTACGCCATCCTGACCCCTGAGACATGGCCGCGGTGGCGTGGGGATGAACGCCAGGGGATCCAGCACCTGCTTCGGGCGGTCAACATGGACCCCGACCAGTACCAGATGGGGAGCACCAAGGTCTTCATCAAGAACCCAGAGTCGGTGAGTGAGACAGAGAAAGATCTTCTGTCCACTGGTTCACACTCCACATGCTTGCAACAGCCAGGACTGGGGCCACACTAAAGCCAGGAGACTGGAACTCAATCCAGGTCCCCATCCTGGGTGGCAGGGACCCAGAGCACTTGAGCCATCATCTGCTGCCTCCCAGGATGCACTGTAGCAGGGGGCAGGATGAGAAGCAGAAGGAGCTGGGAACCAAGCCCAGGCACTCCAGTTATGGGATGTGGGAATCCCAAGCAGTGGCTTAACCACTGCGCCAAACACCCATCCCTGGTTCCTGTTTCTGCCTTCTCTGAACCAGGGTGCACCTTTGACAGATGGCATGTGACTGCCTCATTAGCATATGGGACACTGTGATGTCTTTGCTGTTTCTGGAAAGATCACAGAGCTGGCCAGTGGCAGAGCTGGGATCTGAAGCCAGTAAGACAAACCCCTTGGTATAATTTAATGCAGCACTGGCACTGAGGTACAGCAGGTTAATACCTTGGCCTGAAGCACTGGCATCCCATATGGGCACCGGTTTAAGACCCGGCTGCTCCACTTCTGATCCAGCTCTCTGCTACAGCCTGGGAAAGCAGTGGAAGATGGCCCAAGTGCTTGGGCCCCTGCACCTGGGTGGAAGACCTGGAAGAAGCTCCTGGCTCCTGGCTTTAGATCGGCACAGCTCCGGCCGTTGCACCCAGTTGGGGAGAACCATCGGATGGAAGACCTCTCTCTGTCTCTCCTCTCTCTGTAGCTCTTTCAAATAAATAAATAAATCTCTTTTTTTTATTTGACAGGCAGAGTTAGACAGAGAGAGAGACAGAGAGAAAGGTCTTCCTTCCATTGGTTCACCCCCCAAATGGCCACTACGGCTGGTGCGTCACGCCAATCCGAAGCCAAGAACCAGGTGTTTCCTCCTGGTCTCCCATGGAGTGCAGGGGCCCAAGCACTTGGGCCATCCTCCACTGCCTTCCCGGGCCACAGCAGAGAGCTGGACTGGAAGAGGAGCAACTGGGACTAGAACCCGGCGCTCATATTGGATGCCAGTGCCGCAGGCAGAGGATTAACCAAGTGAGCCATGGCACCAGCCCCTAAATAAATCTTTTTTAAAAAAATCATGCTATATATATATATATATACACACATATATATGTAATTTAATGCACAGGTGTGTGCACCCCATCTGAAGGAATCACCAGGTCCAGTCATTGGAGGAAGAAAAAAATTAAGATTTATTTATTTATTTATTTGAAAGGCAGTTATAGAGAATGAGAGAGGTGGAGAGACAGAAATAGAGAGAGATGTTTCATCCATTGGTTCACTCCCCAAATGGCCTCAATGGCCAGGGTTGTCCAGGCTAAAGCCAGGAGCCAAGAACTCCATCTAAGCCTCCCACGTGGGTGGCAGAGGCCAGAGGAACTTGGGCCACCTTCTGCTGCATTCCAAGGCACATTAGCAGGGAGCTGGATCAGGAGTGATGCAGTCAGGACTTGAACCAGCACTCATATGGGATGCGTGTGTCGCAGGTGCTGGACCAAACACGGGCCCCCGAAAAACACCTTTGGAGCATGTGTGTGAGTGCATATGAGAGCATATGAGTGCACGTGTGTGCATGCACATGAACAGATGCATAGGAATGGGGTGGACCAGGGGAAACCTGAGACTGCAGCCCCTGGGGAGGTCTCAGGACCCCACCAGCCCTGTGTCTTGTCCAAGCTCTTCCTCCTGGAGGAGATACGAGAGCGGAAGTTCGACGGCTTTGCCCGAATCATCCAGAAGGCCTGGCGGCGCCACGTGGCAGTCCGCAAGCACGAGGAGATGCGGGAGGAAGGTGAGGGGCTTCCGGTGGGAGGCTCAGGCCCTGGACAGATGGACCCAGAAGAGCTGAGCCATGACCCCTACCCCCCACCTGTCCCCTCAGCCTCCAACATCCTCCTCAACAAGAAAGAGCGGCGGAGAAACAGCATCAACCGCAACTTTGTCGGGGACTACTTGGGGCTGGAGGAGCGGCCGGAGCTGCGCCAGTTCCTAGGCAAGAGGGAGCGTGTGGACTTCGCCGACTCGGTCACCAAGTATGACCGCCGCTTCAAGGTGAGGCACTAGCAGGTGGACGTGTGCGAGAGCCTGGTTCCAGCCTGGTACACCATCACCTGCCCCCAGGTATTCATGGACCTAGCCTAGACACACCTGCCCATACCTGCCCCCAGGTATACATGCACCTAGCCTAGACACACCTGTTCCATCACAGGTAGACCCACCTACCCATACCTGCCCCCAGGTATACATGGACCTAGCCTAGACACACCTGCCCATACCTCCCCCCAGGTATGCGCGCACCTAGCCTAGACACACCTGCCCATACCTGCCCCCAGGTATACATGCACCTAGCCTAGACACACCTGCCCATACCTCCCCCCAGGTATACACGCACCTAGCCTAGACACACCTGCCCATACCTGGCCCCAGGTATACATGTACCTAGCCTAGACACAACTGTCCCATCACAGGTACTCCCTAACAAGGCCCAGACATACTTGCCCAAATGTACGCAATCAGCTGTTCATCAAACCTCACCTGGCCAGATATGTCTGCCCACAATTACATTCACCTCACCCGGAAGCCTGGGCCACAGGGCCACCCTCACCTATTCTGGACAAATTTATTCGTTAGCTATACTTTCACCCACCCTAGATACACCTGTCCATTCACTATATCTTCACCTGGCCCAGCTACGCATATACAGACACACCCTCACCTGGCCCAAGCAGCCTATCCATAGGTGCATGCCCAGCAGCTCTGACCAGATGTACACTCTCAGCCCTAACATCCAGGCACCTCCACCACAGTCATCCTCTCCTGTTACAGACAGCCCTGGGCACAGGTGTTCTCTCACTGCCGAGCCTGGCCACTCTTGCCCACAGGTGCACCTGGCCTTGACCTGTACTCCCTGACCAGGTACCACACTGGACTCAAACCACATCTCAAGCCCCAGACACTATCACCTAACCCAGACACTCACCCTGCCCACAGCTTAGAGAGAGGCCAGGTCCATGGTGAGATCATCTGTACACCTTTACATGGCCTGGACACTCGCACCTGCCTTGGACACTCGCACGCCCTCACCTGATCTACACAACCTCGCATCCCAGACACCCGTGCCAAGCCTGGCCCAAGGGCCCTCAGCTGCTTTGAACAGGTCTGTGTGGCAGGTATACCTCCCCAGCTGACATGGATACCATCACCCAGGACTCCCCAACTGAACCCACACATCCCAGGTACACCCTCACCTGACTTGCAGTACCAACTCAGTTCACACATACACCTGCCCCTGACTCCCTCTCATGAACCTGGTACCCTTACCTAGCAACCTGATGCATACACCCTCACCTGAGCCCCAGACCTTTACCTGGGCTAGCTTTAGTCACGTGACTCAAGCACTGTCACCCAGGGCTCCCATCTGGACCAATCAGCAGGTGCTTCACTTACCCTGTACCTGTTCACTGGCCCAGACACCTTTCTAACCAGTATGCCCTTACCCAACTTCCTTCTATTTCTCTATTTTATAACTATTTATTTGTTTACTTGAGACGCAGAGGTGAAAGACAAAGAGAGAGCTCCCATTGGCTAGCTCATTCCCCCAAATGCCGACAACAGCCCAGGGACTAAAGCTGGCAGCCTGGAACCTAATCTGGGTCTCCTACTTGAGTGGCAGGAACCCGATCACCTGAGCCCTCACCACTTCCTCCAAGGGTCTGCATTAGCAGGAAGCTGGCATCCAGAGAGGGAGCCAGGGACAGAACCCAGGTCCCCCTGTGTGGGACACTGGCTTCTTAACCACTAAGCCGAACGCCCACCTCCCTTCGTATTGTGTGCATGACTTAACTCAAATACCTCCACCTGGAGCGTCTCTCGTTCTCTCTCTCTCTCTCTCTCTCTCTCACACACACACACACACACACAAACACCTAACCACCTGGAGCATCACTCACACACACACACACACACACACACCTGACCACCTGGCGCATCTCTCACACACACACACACACACACACACACACCCCTGACCACCTGAAGCATCACTCACACACACACACACACACCTGACCACCTGGAGCATCTCACACACACACATACACACACACACACATACACCTGACCACTGGGAGCATCTCTCACACACACAACACCCCTGACCACCTGCAGGATCACACACACAATACACACCTGACCACCTGGAGCATCACTCACACACTCACACACACACACACACCTGACCACCGGGAGCATCACTCTCTCTCTCTCTCACACACACACACACACACACCTGACCACCAGGAGTGTCTCATACACACACACACACCTGACCACCTGGAGCATCACTCTCTCTCTCTCTCTCTCTCTCTCACACACACACACACACACACACACACCTGACCACCGGGAGCATCACTCTCTCTCTCTCTCTCTCACACACACACACACACACACCTGACCACCGGGAGCATCTCTCTCTCTCTCTCTCTCTCTCTCACACACACACACACACACACACACACACACACCTGACCACCGGGAGCATCGCGCGCGCGCTCTCTCTCTCTCTCTCTCACACACACACACACACACACACACCTGACCACTGGGAGCATCGCTCTCTCTCTCTCTCTCTCTCTCTCACACACACACACACACACACACCTGACCACTGGGAGCATCGCTCTCTCTCTCTCTCTCACACACACACACACACACCTGACCACCGGGAGCATCTCTCTCTCTCTCTCTCTCTCTCTCTCTCACACACACACACACACACACACACCTGACCACCGGGAGCATCGCTCTCTCTCTCTCTCTCTCTCTCTCTCTCACACACACACACACACCTGACCACTGGGAGGATCTCTCTCTCTCTCTCTCTCTCTCTCTCTCTCTCTCACACACACACACACACCCGACCACTTGGAGCATCTCACACACACACACACACACACCCCTAACCCAAACGCCTTCACCCGATCCACCAGCACCACCTCTCAGCCTGGGGCTGACTCCCTGGGCAGAGCCGCCCACACCCAGGGCCCCGGCCACCAGCCTCTGGTCTCCATGCCCGCAGCCCATCAAACGCGACTTGATCCTGACGCCCAAGGCTGTGTACCTCATTGGGAGGGAGAAAGTGAAGAAGGGACCCGAGAAGGGCCAGGTGCGTGAGGTCCTGAAGAAAAAGCTGGAGATGCAGGCACTCCGGGGAGTCTCCCTCAGGTGAGGCCCCACGGTCACCCCCTCTGAAATCCTGACAGTCTGTCGCTACCCCTGGAGCGCTCTCTCGGCCCTACCTGTCCCACTCACCTGACCCGGAAGCGACGCCACCCCGCCCCTTACCCTCCTGCGAGACTTCACCTGGCCCTTCCGGGCTAACACCTTTCCCAGCAACCCCTCTGGGAACTCACCTGTGTCACCCACCGCTCCCTTCCGCCTCTCACCTGACCCTCCCCGGTTGCATCCCAGCCACCCTCACCTGTGGCTCGCCTCGCCTCTCCTCCCGCCCGTCCCTAGCACGCGACAGGACGATTTCTTCATCCTCCAAGAGGACGCGGCCGACAGCTTCCTGGAGAGCATCTTCAAGACCGAGCTCGTCAGCCTCCTGTGCAAGCGCTTCCAGGAGGTGGCGGGGAAGCCCCTGCCCCTCACCTTCAGCGACACGTACGCCCCAAGCCCCCCATCACCAGCACCGTCCTCAGGCTGATCGCCGCACTGCACGCACGGCACGCCCCCTCCACCCCAGGGGCCCGGGGACGGCGCCCCATCCCCTCCCGGGTCCTGGTGGGGTGGACCCGCCTGGCTCCCCCACACACAACCCCGCCAGCTTCCTCTTCTCTCCCCCAGACTACAATTCCGAGTGAAAAAAGAGGGCTGGGGCGGAGGCGGCACCCGCAGCGTCACCTTCTCCCGCGGCTCCGGCGACTTGGCGGTGCTCAAGGCCAGTGGCCGGTCCCTCACGGTCAGCGTGGGCGACGGGTTGCCCAAGAGCTCCAGTGAGTCTGCGCAAAACCAGGGACGGACCCCTCCCCCAAGAGGCGGTGCTCAGGAAGAGGCGGGCCTTGTGGGAGGCGGGGCCAGCAAGGGGACCAATCGAGGCTTTAGGGGCAGGGCAAGTAATGCTGGTCATGAGTGGATGAGAGCCATGGAGGGGGTGTGTCTAGAGAGAGTATTAAAGAGAGGTGACCAATGAGTGGAGGAGAAACGTGATGGGGCAACCGAATGTGTCAAACCAACCTATGGAATGAGGGGCATGCCCTGAAATGGGCGTGTCCAGAGGAAAGGAGGGGGCGGGGCCAATCACTGGGCAGAGCAAGTGTACCAATAACTAACGAAGAGTGCTGAAGGGGAACCAATGAATCTGAGGGGGCGGGGCCAGAGTGGACAGGACATTTCGGCGGGCCAAGAGGTTAGTCAGGCATCCTTTTCCTTTTCAGAGCCTACGCGGAAAGGAATGGCCCAAGGAAAACCCCGCAGGTCGGGCCCGCACCCCACGCGGGCAGCCCCAGGGCCCCCCAGAGGTGAGGAGACCACCTCTCACTGAGGGTCTTCCCTTGCCTCTTGTGGGCCGAATGGCCTAAGCCGGACCCCCAGTCCATGGACCCCAACAAGCACACTTGACCACCCGTTTCTGTGCAGAACCCTCCACAGTGCCCCATCTCCCACTGGAGAACCCCTAAGCCTAGTTTGGCATTCAAAGCCCTTCGGAATCCACCCCCAGCTAACCCCTGGCCTGTTCTCTCTTCCCAACCTACCCTCCTGTCTCGCAGACTGCGTCTTGTTTTGTCAACTCACCACGTTTGTTCTTATCTTTTCTATGCCAGGCTACCTTGCTAAGCTCTTATAATCCTCCAAAACCCACCCAGCAAGCACGCTCCTATAGAGGGTGCCAGGGAGTCTCCCCCTAGCCAAAAGCACCTCTGGCCCAGGGTTATGAAGTCTGGGAATTTGGAGCCCAGCCTTCCTCAAACGCTGCCTGATGAATAACCCCATCCTTGCTCCCATTGCAGGCCTGGATCGCAATGGGGTGGCCCCCTCCGCCAGAGGGGGCCCCCTGCCCATGGAGATCACATCTGGAGGAGGCTCTCAGCGGCCTCCCCGAGGCCCTCCGTCCTCAACTCTGGGGGCCAGCAGACGAACCCGAGCACGGCCACCCTCAGAACACAACACAGAATTCCTCAACGTGCCAGACCAGGGCGTGGCTGGGTAGGCGGGGAGGGAGGGCAACCCCAGGAGGTGGACAGGGGCCGGGGGAGTGTCTGGGTTTGCAATCGGCATCCCCTGTGCCCGCAGCATACAGAGGAAGCGCAGCGTGGGACAGAGGCCTGTGCCTGGCGTGGGCCGACCCAAGCCCCAGCCACGGACCCACGGCCCACGGTGCCGAGCGCTGTACCAGTACATCGGCCAAGACGTGGATGAGCTGAGCTTCAGTGTGAACGAAGTCATAGAGATCCTCATGGAAGGTGGGTGACCTGGGCCCGAGCTGGTCAGAATGCTGGTGCTGCCAGGAAGCCCCCGAGGGGGTACACACCCTTCCATCCTTTGGGAAGAACAGAGACAACCAGCCCCTACCAGAGAAACTCTCTCCTGCTCCAGTGGCTGCATAGGCCCCATGGCCCTGGCTCTGGAGGTCCCCCTAAGCCAGCTTCTAGGACTGCAATGAAGCATCTGGGGCAGCAAAGAGGTTCATGTTGGCTCCCAGTCTCAGCCTCTGGCCATGCCTTCTTATTTTCTTAAAATTAACTTATTTATTTCAAAGTCAGAATTACAGAGAGGGAGAGACACAGAGAGACAGAGAGAGATCTTCCAGCCGCTGTTTCACTCCCCAGATGGCTGCATTGGCTAGGGCTGAGCTAGGCCGAAGCCAGAAGCTTCATTCAGGTCTCCCATATGGGTGCAGGAGCCCAAGCACTGGGACTGTCCCCTGCTGCTTTTCCCAAGACATGAGCAGGGAACTGGATCGGAAGTGGAGCAGCCTGGACACGTACCGGTGCTCACATGGGATGCCAAGTCGCAGACGGTGGCTTTACCTGTTGTGCCATAAAGCCAGCCCCTGGCCATGGCCTTCTAAACTAATCCAATCTAATCAGGTCCACCCTAAACCCCAGTATTGGGTTAACTTCCACTCCTCTGTACTATTATCCGAAGACATCAGGAAACACTGCCTGAGTTCAGGGCTCAAATCTTACTTAAACCCCGGGGTCTGGCCTCCCTGAGTCACCTAGGACTTGAGCCTGGTGTTGCCCATCTGTGAAACACACAGCCATAGCAGAACCCACCACACAGACCCCTGTGCTCAGAAAGGTGTCCACCTGAACGGCCTCCTACCTTGGTCCTCTGGGCCGCCCCCTGAGAGGCTGGGACTCACCAGCCTGCTCTGCAGGTATGGGCAAGAGCCCCCTGGGGGTCAGGGAGACCTGGTCATTCCTGGGTCCACACTGCAGGGTGGGGAGGGGTCTTGAGGAGGAAGTGGGGAGGAAAGAGCAGAAGCAAAGAATGTTCTAGAAAATGTATGAGCCAATAGCTAGGAAAGGCCATGGGAAGGGTCTTTGACAGGTTCCTGGAGGGGCAGCAGTTAGGGCACTGGCTGAGATGCCCACATCCCCATATTGCAGTGCCAGGGTTCGTACTGGGCTCCAGCTTCCTGCTCATGCAACACCTGGGTCTCCCATGTGCATAGCAGGGGCCCCGGCACTTGCGCCATGTTCTGCTGCTTCTCCCAGGCCCATCAGCAGGGAGCTGGATCAGAAGTGGAGCAGCTGGGACTTGAACTGCTGACTTGAACTTCCCCCCACCACATGCTACAGCGCCAGCCCCTCTATGAGCGTTTTGGATGGTTCCTGCCTCTGGCAGGTCAAGGACATGGCGCTGTGTCAGACAGAACTGGCCTGAGGGCTTCCTGTGGGGCCGGCCTGGCAAGGCCTACCGCTCTCCTCTCTCCCACAGATCCCTCGGGCTGGTGGAAAGGCCGGCTGCACGGTCAGGAGGGCCTGTTCCCGGGAAACTATGTGGAGAAGATCTGACCTGGGGAGGGGGCTGCAGTTGCGCCCTCCCGCCTGCCCAACGTGCCTGCCTGCCAGAGAGCCGTATCGCCCTTGGCTGCCCTGGCCAAAAAGGCCAATCCTACGACCTCCAGCCCAGCTCAGGCCGTGGGGGTCACCGCTGCAGACCCCACCCCACCCCACCCCCGGGCCCTGGCATCCCTCCCTGCCCAAGTGTCGGTTTCTTCATGTGTCGAAAGAGGGTACGTGCAGCACCTACCTCCTACCTAGCTGCCTTGTGTGTACAGGCTGAGTCGTGTCCTGGGCTCTCCGCAAGATGCTGGCCAGGCACAGTCCATGGCAAGGCAGGTGTCCAGCGATGCCACTTGCCACCTTCTCTCATCTCTAAGGCAATAAACATCGGCCAGGCGAAAGCACCAACCATAAGGACTGTTGCTCTCACGACCTTGCAACGCAGGGGCAATGGGTGCCCCCGTTTTACAGGTGGAATAATGGAGGCTGAGAGAGGTTCAGTCACTTATCCAAGATACCACAGAGCCAAGCCGTGCCTTCATAGCAGGGGTCTTCAAAACCAATTCATGCAAAACTAGTATTATGAAAAAAATTTATGTGTGGATTTTGACTTTTTATAATTTTTTGGCACCAAAATACATTTATCTTTAAATTACATCTTCCTTGAGCTTTTTGATCTGCCCCCCCTCTCACCTCACCAAAGTTTGAATTGGGTCCACTTTCCTTTCCTGAAGCCGCACGTGGCTGGGAAGACATCCCAGGGAAAGCCGCTGGGCCTCCCCACCCTTGTATTGGTCTTTACAGAAAAGCAGTCTGCTAGCCGGTGCCGCGGCTCACTAGGCTAATCCTCTGCCTTGCAGCACTGGCACACCGGGTTCTAGTCCCGGTCGGGGCGCCGGATTCTGTCCCGGTTGCCCCTCTTCCAGGCCAGCTCTCTGCTGTGGCCAGGGAGTGCAGTGGAGGATGGCCCAAGTGCTTGGGCCCTGCACCCCATAGGAGACCAGGAGAAGTACCTGGCTCCTGCCATCGGATCAGCGCGGTGCGCCAGCCGCAGCGACCATTGGAGGGTGAACCAACGGCAAAAAGGAAGACCTTTCTCTCTGTCTCTCTCTCTCTCTCACTATCTACTCTGCCTGTCAAAAAAAAATAATAATAAAAAATAGAAAAAACTGCTGAGCCAAAGAGCTACCCTGGTGTGACATATTTTGACAGCTTCTTTCGAAGACAAACCTCAGAGTCACCCTGGCCCCACCCTCTCCTGGGCCCCACATCCTGTTGACTCTTACAAAATCCCCGTCCCTGTCCTCCCTTCCTGGAGTCTGAGTCCCCTCTGAGGTCTCACTTCCCCAGATTGCACCAAACTCTGCTGCGCACGCACGCACACACACACACACACACACACTCCAGCATCAAAGAGATCTTTGTTTCTTAAAACACATGACTTTGTAACTGGAAGAGTGGTAATGAAATGAAAAACTTTTTCATTCAAGGCGCACAAAAGAGTGAAAAGTCACTCTCCCTCTAACGGTATTCTCTGCATATAAAAGTCATAGGTATGTATGTCTTGTTTGACTTTAAAAAAAATTCTTTTTTTTTTTTTTTTTTGACAGGCAGAGTGGACAGTGAGAGAGAGAGAGAGAGAAAGGTTTTCCTTTTGCCATTGGTTCACCCTCCAATGGCCGCCGTGCCCGGTGCGCTGCGGCCGGCGCACCGCACTGATCCGATGGCAGGAGCCAGGTGCTTATCCTGGTCTCCCATGGGGTGCAGGGCCCAAGCACTTGGGCCATCCTCCACTGCACTTCCTGGCCACAGCAGAGAGCTGGCCTGGAAGAGGGGCAACCGGGACAGAATCCAGCGCCCTGACCGGGACTAGAACCCGGTGTGCCGGCGCCACAAGGCGGAGGATTAGCCTAGTGAGCTGCGGCGCCGGCCTCTATTTATCTTTATTTGAAAGGCAGAGAGAGAGAGATTGTTCCTCTGCTGGTTCAATCCCCAAATGCCTCCAACAGCGAGGGCTGGGCCAGGCAGAAGCAGGAGCCTGGAACTTCATCCAGGTCTCCCCGGTGGGAGGCAGGGGCCAGAGTACATTAGCCACCACCCGCTGCCTCCCAAGGTGCGCATCAGCAGGGAGCTGGATTGGACTTGGAGACAGGACTGGAAACCAGGCACTCCGATAGGGGAAGCGGGCATCCTCACCACGCCACGACATCCTCACCTACACCTTACAACAGAGGCACAGGCACTGACAAGGCCTCCATTTGTCTTCGGCTCAGCCAGCACCTCTGGGATGGTTGAATAACGTGTTACAGAGATCTAAGCTGTACTGTCCCATCTCTCCCAGAGGGCCTCTCCTTCAAATGACCCCCACAGAGCCGATGGTAAGCCTCCTCCTGCTAAAAATTCATCAGTGGTTACAATAATACAAACCACACCCTCTGTCTCCACTGCTCACCTGGCCCTGATGACCCATTCTGCACCGAGGCCACTTCCGGACCTCTGCACCCCGCCCTGGCCATGCACCTGCAGTGCGCTCGCCCCCCCACTGTTCCTTGGCAAAGACAAATCTGTCCCTCTGTTTCAGAATTCCGAAAATAGTGGGTGTTGCTGTAAGAACCCCCAAACCTGGGTCCGTTCACCCAACGCTCAGAAACCCAACCATGGACATTGGGGATTTATTTGCAAAGTGCAGAGCAAGGAGCCGGGCAGCTCTTGCTTAATTCGCGGGCTCCCGGAGGAGCTGCGGTGAAGGTTCTGATAGACTGAAATGGGGCTGACAGGTGCGTGCTCAGCTTGGTTCGTGCACCTCGCACCCTGGGGCAGTGGCGCTGGTGACGTTTTGATTGGTCAGCGAGGTCGCATTCCTTAGGGAATTCTCAGGGTGGCCAAGTGGGATTCAGCAAGTTGGGGGCGGGGGCGGTCACGGGGAGCTGGGGACCTGGAGTCTCCCCGCCTGGACCTGGAATTCCTCCACACGAATCGCTCTGGACAGTACTGGCCAATAGGGCTTTATCTACCAGAGCAGCAAGTGCCTCCGTGGGTCTGGTGATCACATCCTTGCAGCGGCCCCCTAGGGGCCTCACCTCCGGGACCTCGGCACCTGGACCAAGACTAGCCTGAAGACGGGCACTTAAGCCACCAGCTCAGCGGACCCCTTCCAATTGCCAATTTCCCCGCAAGGAGGTGGCTCAATCCAGGAGAACCGCACTTTGCCGCCTTTGGAGGGTGGGTGGCGGGACGGGCCCGAAAGGATGTCCATTTTGCGCCGACGACACGGAGACCAGGAGGGCCCCCCTCATCCCGATCGCCGGTTCTCCGCAAGGCGCCAACCGCGCTCGCCCGCAGCGGCGACCTCGCGGCTGCCTAGGGTGAGCCCATCTCAGGCCCCGCCCCTCGCGGGGCGCCTCGCGCAGGCTCCGCTCCCCCGCTCTCGCGAGAGCTGGGATTCGGAAAATGGCGCCGACGTGAGCTCGAGGCCGCAGCGCCGAGGAAGTCGCTGCCTCCTCAGCCCGAGCCGCCGGAACCGCGAAAACGAGAGGCCGAGCCAGGTTGAGGATGGTGAGCGCGGCGCCGGGGGCGCGGGCGCGGCGGAGCAGCGGGAACCGACAGGGAGCGTCCCTGCCAAGCACACACCCTCCGACCGACCCCGCCCCCACATCCGGGCACCAGCCCGCAGCTGGCTGTCACTCGGCAATCGCCCTACCCCTACTTCCGGGCCTGGTTTCGACACGGCCACGCCCACAGGGCTCGGGCTCCGCCCCTCTACTAGGCATATCCGGGCCCTCAGCTGCTCCACGTCCGTCTATGCAGCCCGAGGTTGGCGGGGCCTGTCTCCATCCTCAAACAATCCGCTTCTGGCCTCTCCAGCATCTTGCCTAGGGTTGTCCAGTCCAGAACCCCGCCTTCAAAGCCGCGGCCCCACCCCCTCCTGGGCCACGCCCTTTCCCTGCCTTAGGAATTGGGGATGTGTCTCATGGGCACAATTACCCCCACCCTGTCTTGTAGGTGCCTCCTTAGAATGGGGGTGCCAGGGTGACTTCTAGGTGGGGAAGGGGGTTCCAGAAATGTCCGGGCCTCGTGGGACAGGTTCCCTGGGGCGCACAGGAGCTCCCTCCCCCTCTTCCTTCCACCAGGAGGAGGAACCGTCGGGGCCCGGCCCGGACATACCGGCCACTGCAGAGCCCAGCTCCAGTGACACCGACAAGGAGGTGTTGGCCCCGGTGGTGGCAGCCACTGCCTCCACCTCCATGGAGGAGGCGCCGGGCCCCGACCGGGCAGCTACGCCCCCAGTGTGGCCCGCAGGGACACAGCAGGGTGCCTCCCCAGCCTCAGAGCCTGGACCCAGCCCTGGTCCAGCCGGCACAGCCCCGGGGACCAGTGAGGAGCTGCGGCCTCCCAGACGACGCCCAGCACCAGGTGACCTGTGATGGGGCCTTCTGGGAAGCCACGGGCCTGGGAACCACTGGAGTGAGGAATGCAGACGTGGGACGTTGGGGTCCAGCTGGTCTGCCCGAGGGATGCTTTTGCCCATGGACCAAGCACCAGCCAGGCCGTGTACCCTCTGGCGGCCCAGTATGGTGGAGGGGCGGGGCGGTGGGGTGGCTGGTGGTGTCCCTGGGAAAGGGACCGCTGACCACCCAGTCCTGTCATCCTGCAGGGAAGCAGATACCCTGCTCGAGCCCTGGCTGCTGCCTCAGTTTCCCCAGCGTTCGGGACCTGGCACAGCATCTTCGTACGCACTGCCCCCCCACACAGTCCTTGGAAGGTAGGGCCAGGGTAGGTGCTCAGGAGGCCGGCAGGGCCCACCCCTCCGGGGGGCCAGCCTCAGCCACCCCTCTGCCCTCCGTCCCTCCAGGCAAGCTCTTCCGCTGCTCTGCCCCGAGCTGCACCGAGAGCTTCCCCAGCATGCAGGAGCTGGTGGCGCACAGCAAGCTGCACTACAAGCCCAACCGCTACTTCAAGTGAGAGCCTCACCCAGCCCGGGGTTGAGGGCCAGGCCCCTCGCCCTCCCCGCTTAGTGCCAAGGTGGAGGAGATGGGCGTGGCCTCGGGCGAGTCCCGCCCGTCTGAGCTGCCCATGAGAGAGAAAGGGCGGAGCATGCGTGGTTGGAAAACGCACCCCCTAACTTAAAATTGAGACCTCCTTCCGCGTGTTGCCAGGGCTCCAAGTCTGGAGGGGTCGCGGCTGTCGTGGGCGGGAGGTGCTTGGCGAAGCCCGGCGCCTGCAAGTGGGGGCCCTTCGCACGCTCCCAGAGCGAGTCCCCGGGTGGCACAGGGTGGCACACACGCACCTTATCACCGCAGGTGCGAAAACTGCCTCCTGCGCTTCCGCACGCACCGCTCGCTCTTCAAGCACCTGCATGTCTGCGCAGAGCATGCGCAGAGCCCCGCCCCGCCGCCGCCCCCGGCCCTGGACAAGGAGCCCCCAGCGCCTGAGCGGCCCCAGGAGCCTGACCCCGCGTCGGCGCCGGGCCTGCAGTTCCCGCTGCTCGAGCCCTTCACGACCCCCGCCCCGGCCCCCAGCGGGCCTTTCCTACCCTACTTGAACCCCGCGCCCTTCGGCCTAAGCCCCCCACGCCTGCGCCCCTTCCTGGCTGCGGCGCCCGGGCCACCGGCCTCCAGCGCTGCCGTCTGGAAAAAGAGCCAAGGTGAGTGTCGGGGGCGCGGCCTCCTGCAGGGAGCGGCGGGCTGGACTCCCCCTGACTGGACCTGACCCGCCCCTTTATCGCAGGTGCTGGCGGCAGCCCCCGAAGACCCCAGGGCGGCTCCGATGCGCCCTCAGGTGCGTGCAGGTGACCACCAGGGAGGGTTGGCGGGGCTTTCCTTCCTGCGCCCTGCAGGGGCAGTGCAAACTGGCAGGCATCTGTGCCCGTCCCGTTCCCAGGTGGCTAAAAAATGCCACCCCGAAATACAGGATTTTGCCTTAAAAACCACTGGCACCTGCGCCTTCCTCTGCGCCGGCGTTCCCGTGTGAAACTCGCGCCCGCCCAATCACCGTGGAGCGCTCCTTTCCCCACCTGCGAGGGTTCGTGGGCGCAGGGGCCGCGGATAAGCCGAGTTTACGGCGGTGATGACGGGCGGGAGAAACGGATCCAGCTAGGCCTGGCCGCCTGCGCACGGGAGCTGATGGGGAAGCGAGGAAAAGTCCAAGCCGCCGCCCGCGTCCGCCGCCCCCGGGCTAGGGTCGCGGGACTGATAGGGTCCCGCCTGCCTGCCCGCAGGGCACGCGGCTCCGGGCCGCATCGTGTGGGAGCACACGCGCGGCCGCTACTCATGCATGCAGTGCGCCTTCTCCACGGCCTCGCGGTCTGCCATGACCCTGCACCTGGAGGACCACCGCCCTGGCGCCCCCGCGGCCCAGGCGTCCGGGCCGCGCCCCGACGCCTCAGCGGGTAAGGCCAGGGGACAGCGCCGCTGCAGAGGGCGGGGGGCACAGGGGTGAGGCGAAGCCGAGGCTCACGCGCTTCCTTCTCCCCTTTCCCCCCCACCCCAGACCCGGCCCCGCTTGCACCCAGTGCGTCGCCGCTGCTGTCAGAGGGGGAGCTGCCAGTCTTCTCGCCTCTTTGATCCGGGCTGAGATGGGGGGCGGGCGGCGGAGTTGAAGAGTTTTGTGATTTGAGGTGGGGGACAATAAAAGAGGCGCGATAAGCCAGCCTGTGCTGTGTCTGGGTCCCTTGCCCTCTAGTGCACACGGGGCCAAAGCCCAGCAGCCCAAGAGCTCCCCCCCCCCCCCATCAGCTCACGCCGGTCGCACAGAAACAGGGCCTGTCCCTCAGCCAAGCCATGTCGCATGTTCCCTGTCGCCTCTGTCCTGGGACCTGGGACCCAGGTCTCCAGTGCACTGCCACCCTATCCCTGGGTGGGGTCGAATTCTCAAGTTGTTGGGAGTGGGGAACCGGCATTTGGCAAAGCAGTGAAGTTCCCCACCTCCCTTGTAGGAGTGTCTGGGTCCCAGCTCTGCTGCTCACCGCAGCTCCCGGGAGGCAGTCCGAGCTCACCTGCTCGGGTCCCCACCACCCACAAGGGAGACCTAGATGGAGTTCCCCGTTCCTGGCTTCAGGAACTGCAGGCATTTGGGAAGTGCGAACCCCCAGATGGGGCATAGCTCTTCTCTCCCCCCCACTCGATCTCTCTGCCTTCCAAAGAAATTAATATTTTAACATTTCTGGGGCATCCGTGGGGGTGGGGGCTGTCTGCAGTGCTGGGGTCCCAGGCGACCCTCCTTGCTGCCTGGGCTCCCGCTTCATGGACGCCCGGTCTGAGTCCACCTCTACCCCATCCATTTTGAGAAGTCACACTGGGGTCATCCTGTTACCGCAACCCAGAGCGTCTTTCCCCTATGGCACTGCACCGGGTCAGGGCCTGGCTGCCCTGTCCTTACCCCTCCCCGCTCATGCCGGACCTCTGCCTGCTCCCCTGCAAGCCTGAATGCCCCCCGGTCCCCTGCAGTCCCGCGCCCCCCAACCCTCCCTCTGGACAAAGCTGTGACCTTTGTCAGAGAGGGGCTCCGAGAGCATCAGGACCCGAAGCAGAGTCCTCCTAAGTGGGGTTTGAGTTCCGCCCGGCAGGGGGCGCCCGGGAGTGTCTGAGGGGCGAACCCGTGAGTCTGGCGACCTGTCAGGCGCCCACCTGCGCAGGTGCAGAAGCAAGTGGGCCCGAGATCGGAGGCTCCCACTGACCACGGTGAGCCGCAGCAGGCGTTTTGGCCTGGGTTGAGGCACGGCCAGATGCCCGTGCAGCAGCCGGCAGTGCCCACACCAGCGGGTTACCCTGACCGCGGATCCTGGCCCGAGCACCCGCATCCCGGGCTCCCGACTTCTCGTGCTCAGCCCTCCCACGCCGCAGATTCCCACAGCGGCGCGCTGAGGACTCCCACTCCCCCAAGGCGGACCCTGGCCCAAGCTCAGTTCTTCCAGCTTCTGGTTCTGCGGCTCCGCGTAAAGGCACCAAAAACACAAAGGGGAATGTGGTGGACGCGCCCCCTGGCGGCTGGCGGCCGCCCCTGCAGACGGCGCAGGGCTCCATGCCTGCTTCCTGGGCATCCAAACTGCGCTGCTCTGTGCTGGGGGCGTCCACATGGATCCTGGGGAGTCAGCTGGCAGTCAGGCGTTTAGCCTGCCATCACTGAGCGCCTACTGTATGCTCCTGACCATTACCAGACCTCCTGAGAATCCAGTTCCCAGGGGAACCCACATCTGGGAACTGTGACCCAGCCACGGGCCCCCGAGTGGCTGTTTAGCTGCGCACTGCAATCTCCCAATGCGGTTTCTAACAACCCCGGTCCAGGCCCCGCCCCAGACCAGAAACTGGAAGTTCTGCTGTTTCCTAAGCTGCGCAGGCGATTTCCACGCATGACCACACAGGATCCAGGAGGGTGCTTTCCAGCCTTCCTCCCCGGGACAGGGCCCAGGTTCCTCCAGCCTCCCAGGGGCCGTCCTACCTTGCTTTCCTCCCAATTACTGCCTTCTGGATCCTTCCTTCTGCATTACCTTCCATCTCAGGGAACTTGGAATGTCCCTGCTCCCCCATGGGCGAGTTCTTGGACATCATGGCCCCGCCCCACCCCCAACACACACCCCTAAATCTGCGGTCCCCCAGCCGCCAGCCCAGCAAATCTGTCCCAAGAACAGGGAAGTTCTTGGCTTGCAAAGATGTGTTGAAAAGAGGAAGGTGTATTAGGCAAGACGAGCAGGCAGCTGAGGCCTCACCCATCATACAGGGACCATCCCCCTCCTCACTGGATGCCCCGACCCCTGGCCTTCCGGCCTCAGCTGGCCTGGGGGCAGCAAGTCCCCAGGAGCTCCCACTGGAAGCAAGGAGGCAGCAGAAAGACCAGGGACAGAACGTTCCAGTTGGCGGACATGCCAGTTACCCTGACCTGATCATCGCACATTGCACACGTGGATTGAGACACCACGTACTACCCCACAGATATGTGCAATCATGTGCCAATTAAAAATGTAAAACAGAATCGGGCATTTGGGCCCGCATCCCCCGTGGCAGTGCCTGGGTTCGAGTCCCAGCTCTGCTCCCAATTCCAGCTCCCTGCTAATGCACACCCTGGGAAGTACCTGGGTCTCTGCCACTCCCATGGGAGACCCGGATGGAGTTCCTGGCTCCTGGCTTTGGCCTGGCTGTTGCTTGCATTTGGAGAGTGAACAGGTGAATGAAAGATCCCTGTCTCTCTGTCATTCTGCTTTTAAAGTAAAAATGAAAATAAAGAGGACTGTGATATGAATGTGCTGATTCCATGCACTGAGCAAGGAGGTCAGGGTGGCTGGGGACAGGCCGGGCGGGGCCGTCTCCGCCTCCTTTCCTTCTTCCTCTGCCCTCCCCACCTTGTGTGCTGGCCTGGGGAGCAGAAGCCACAGGCACTTCCTGAAGGCAGCAGCCTGGTGCCCCGGCCCATCACCAGCCTGCAGACATGGTGAGTCCCCCAGCCCCGGGGCAGAGGCTGGGGAGGAAGGGGCACAGCAGGTGGAAACTGGAGGCAGGGGTTCCAAGAGCAGAGACGCGAAGCGGGTGCTAGGGAAAGAGGTCGGGGGACACAGGAATAGTCGGGCGGGGAGCCCCCGAGACAGGAGCCCGGGCTGCGGCTGTGACTTCAGGGCGGCAGCCGGCCTTTCCCCAGCTCAGCCTCAGTTGACAACATGGGAACAGGCAGCGACAGAGGGAGCAGAGCTTCCTGTGGGGTGACTAAGCGGGTCAGGCACCCCCACTCCTCCCCGCTTCTGCCGACCCTGACTCGGGGAGCCCTGTGGTCACCAGCAGGCCTTGACTTAAGCCCCCAGGCAGGACTCACTTTTCCCAGGGACACGCCTGATCCCGAGTGAGGCAAACCAGGCCAGTTACTGCCCTTCCTCTCCCCACTGCTTTGGCCCGGAGGGAAGCCAGCCTCCGAGGCCTAGTTCTGTGAGCCCAGGTGTGGGGTCATCTGAGAGGGTCCCCGGGGCATCCGAGACGACCCCAGGTGGTGGGAGTCCTGTGGACAACGAGCATCCCTTGGACGCCCGTAGGTGTGACCGGAGTGTGCCTGTGTTTGTGGCTGAGTTCCCACCACAGCCCCAGGGACTGGCCCTGCGGACACCCTGAGGATGCTCAGGTCCCTTCTATAGACGGCATGGGGTTTGCACAGAAGCCATGCGCACCCATGCACCCACGTAGCAGAATATCTACTGGGCTGTGAACGCCTAGTGAGCGGCCATGCTGTGCTGCTAAGCACAGCGGCCAAAACTTTGTGGGGGTGGGCGGGCAGGGCTCGGATTCCAGCAGCTGCACGCGCACAGCGCACAGCCCGTGGACATCCTTGTGGAGGAAAACTGGCCGGGGATGCTGGGGGGAGGGTCTGGCGCTGCAGGCCAGGAAAGATCCTGGCAGTGGGGACAGTTCCTCCCGCCATCCATGGTGAAAGCGGTGAGAAGTGGTTAGCTACGGGATGTATTTCAAAACTGGAACAGAAGGGACTGGGCCCGCGGGGGGTGAAGGACTAGGGGGTCCAGGAGGATGCTCTGAAGGCACCTCCCACCTGCTGGAGGTGAGTGGGGGCAGGCCCAGTGCCTAGGTGCACCAGTCAGTAGGGTGTGGTTGGTCTCCAGGAGCCTGGGGGGAGGGGGCGATCTCAGCCCAAATGGACAATAGAGCCAGGGCCAAGGACAGTAGTGTGGGGGTGGGGCTGCGTGCCCCTGACCTTTAACTCTTCCTTGGGTGCCCACCTCGGCCTGACTGGCCTCATGGCCCCCAGGGGAGCCAGCAGGACTTCCGCAGCCTCCAAGCCAGGTTCCAGGCCTCTCAGCCCCAGCCCAGTGAACACCCCAGAAAACCGCCGAAGCCTGACTTCAACAAACTGAAGAAGTTTCCACCGCCTGAGCCAAGCGAGCATCCCAGGAAACCCCCGCAGCCCAAGTTCGCCAACCCCCCCAGGAAGCCCCCGCAGCCTGAGTTCGCAGACCCCCCCAGGAAGCCCCCGCAGCCCGAGTTCGCAGACCCCCCCAGAAAGCCCCCACAGCCCGAGTTCGCAGACCCCCCCAGGAAGCCCCCACAGCCCGAGTTCGCAGACCCCCCCAGGAAGCCCCCGCAGCCCGAGTTCGCAGACCCCCCCAGGAAGCCCCCGCAGCCCGAGTTCGCAGACCCCCCTAGGAAGCCCCCGCAGCCCGAGTTCAGTGATGTCTCCAAGAATTTCTCACAGCTAGACAGGAAGTCCCCGCAGCCCAAGGTCGGTGAGAGCCCTCTGAAGTCCTCCCAGCCGCAGCCCATCAACCCTGCCAGGCCCCTCTCAGAACCCAAATTCAGCACCTTTCCCAAGAAGCCCCCGCAGCCTCAGGTCACCAGCCTCCCTCCAAAGCAGCCGCCGCAGCCCGAGGTCAGTGGTGTTCTTCAGACGCAGGAGGCCCAAGAGCCCCGGCCCCGCTCCCCGCGGCCAGACTTCTTCACGTTTCCCAAGAAGCCCTTGCAGCCTGGGCTTGGGGACCTCTCCAGGACATCGTCGGAGCCCGAGGTCAGCGTGCTGCCCAAGAGGCCGCAGCAGCCCGAGCTCAGAGTGCCTTCCACAAAGCCCCCGCAGCCCAGGCTGGACAGCCTCTCCAGGACATCCTCGGAACCCGAGTTCTGCTCGCTGCCCAGGAAGTGTCTGCACCCACCACGGCCAGGGGGCCCCCGCAAGCTCTCCCAGCCGGAGCCCAGCGCTGCGTCCAGGCAGCACCTGCAGCCCGACTTCCTCACTGCACTCCCCAGGAAGCCTGCGCTCCCAGGCTCCGTCTCCGAGAGCTCGCTGCCCACGGCCATTGCTGGCTCCTGTCCCCAGTTCCCGCTCAGCAGCCCTGGGCTTGGAGTCCCTGGGATACCCCGCTGGGGGTCTGGAGACCTCGCTCACAAGGGAGGGTCAAGGTCAGGCCTCAGGGCCAGCCACCCACCCCGGAGGAGGCCTCTGCCTCCTGCCAGCAGCCTGGGACCCCCTCCAGCCAAGCCCCCGCTGCCCCCAGGCCCGATGGACATCCAGAGCTTTCGGAGACCATCAGTTGCAGCCACAGGTGGGTGAGGGTGGGCAGCCCCAGCAGAGGGGCTGAGGGTCCCAGGCAGCTCCTCCTCCCTCCTGCACCCTCTCTCCCACAGATCTCCAGAGGACAGGCTCTCCTGCTGGGACCCGTTTCCGGGCAGACACCAAGCTGTAAGTGTGGGGAAGGGCCCAGGTGCGGGCTGCAAGGCTGGAGCAGGTCCTCAGCCCAGCTGCCCATCCATCCCTGCAGGGAGCCCGAGTACATCTACGAGCTTTACGACAACGTGGAGCCTGCCGACCTCACCGGCCCGGGCCCCAGGTCAAACCACAGGCCAGACACACCAGCTGCTGGTGAGTGGGACCTGTGTGAGGAAGGGAAGCCTGGGGACAACAGGCAGGGGGTGGCCCGGGTGGCGCAGGAGCCGGGATGGCAGCAGAACGAAGCAAACGGGACCTGGTGGCGACTCAGGCAAGGCACGGGTGGGTCCCTGCGTGCAGTGGGAACACGCTGGGCTGGGGACAGCAGGCGTTCCTGAGATGCCTGTGGGGATGTCCAGGCGGGACAGGGGCTGAAGGCAGGTGGGGCTGTGGTGGGCCCAGTATGCAGGCTGCTCTCACCGCTCTCTGGCCAGGCCCCTGGGCGCTCCTGCCTTCCTGGGGTTCTCTCTCTTCCAAGTCTCTGCTCACACAGGCACAACCCCACGTCAAGGCCGCATCATAGAAGTGCATGTCTGGGAATGTGGCAAGTGCCTGGCCATGGGCCACCCAGCTGGGGCAGATATGGCGTGGGGAAAGGCTTCCTGCCGGGGAATCACCAGGCAGAAGAGGCCCTGGCAGGGAACCTGGGCCCCTTCTGCTCCACCGGGTTAGCACATAGCTTCCTGGCAGCACCCCTGCTGCCTCCTCGCCGGGGGGAGTCTCTGTGGCTTGGGTCTGGGGGCTGCAGACTGCAGTCATGGCCTGCCTCAGGCCCACACCACCTCCTTCCCAACCCCACAGTACCCCATGCTCCTGCCCTTTCTCCCCACTCCCATCAAACACCACACTTGCCTGGGTCTTGGCTCGTGGCGCTGCCCGGGCCTCGCTGTGGGCACACAGTCTCAAAGCCTGCTCTGCCCTCTGCCATGTCCATCCTTCCCCTGGCACGTGGGGCCAGGACCCCCAGCCTCCCCTCAACCCCCAGCACTCAGCAGTTCCAGCAGGGACTGAGCAGGCCGCTCAGGTCTGTCCTGCAGTGCAGACCCGGGGGCAGCTCTTCGCTGCGTGCATGGGTTCTGCAGGGCCCTTGGGGTGCCTGGGTGACCACCCACACAACAGGGCCAGCTGAGGCAAGAGCAGTGGAGGAACTGTGCGCTCTGGGTGGGACCCTGGACAGGCCAAGCTCAGCATCTTGGATGACAGGTGCCCGCAGTGAGCTCCTGGACAGGAGGGACCGTGGGCCTCGAGTGTCCAGAGTTGATGCTTCATCAGGCAGAGGGGACAAGCTGGGGCTCCAGGAGCCGGATCCTTCACCTACTTGGGGTTCCTGAGGCTCTTGTTGGAAGCCTGGCCATTCGCCAGGAAGTAGCACAGGTGGGCCCTCCGTCAGACCTCGCCCCATCTCATCAGCCAGGCCAGTCCAAGAATTTTTTTTTTTTTTTTTGACAGGCAGAGTGGACAGTGAGAGAGAGAGACAGAGAGAAAGGTCTTCCTTTGCCGTTGGTTCACCCTCCAATGGCCGCCGCGGCCGGCGCGCTGCGGCCGGCGCACCGCGCTGATCCGATGGCAGGAGCCAGGAGCCAGGTGCTTTTCCTGGTCTCCCATGGGGTGCAGGGCCCAAGCACCTGGGCCATCCTCCACTGCACTCCCTGGCCACAGCAGAGAGCTGGCCATGGAAGAGGGGCAACCGGGACAGAATCCGGCGCCCCGACCGGGACTAGAACCCGGTGTGCCGGCGCCGCTAGGCGGAGGATTAGCCTAGTGAGCCGCGGCACCGGCCAGTCCAAGAATTTTGACAGCCCCTCCTCAGAGGGGACTTGGCCGGCCTTCAGGGAGTGCTTGCCTTTGCCTTAGTTTTTGAACCAAATCTTAAAATTCCCAGAATCCAACCTGCCCTAGGAGGCAGGAGCAAAATGGTTTCAAATGCTGACAATAAAGCCTGCCTCTACCACTGACTGGAGAGCTGGGTGCTCTTGGGCCACCTGAGCCCTCTGAGGCCTTATTTCATCGCTGTGGAGCTGGGAAGGACAGCGGTGCCCACTGGCGTAAGTAAGAAGGCTTCAAGGGCTTGGGAGTTAAGGGGTGCTGCAGCCATCGCCACGGCTGGCGTACAGCAGGTGCAGAGGCAAAGGCAGGCAATCGGCGGACAGGTACCTCCAGAAAGGCCTGGGGAGAAGGGGGGCAGGGCCCTGGCAGGGCAGGGGCACGGTCCGAGAACGGGCACTAGGGTAGACACAGGCTGAGCTCAAGGCCCCTGCCCCGCGTTCCCACTGCCCCTAGGTGACACGTCACCCACTCAGACTGCTGCCAGGAGGCCACCTGCAGACGGAGCGCTCAGGTACCATGGGCCAGGGGCCAGGATGGGATGGGCAGAAGGCAGGGACACACCTTGCTCATAAGCACCCCCATTTCTTGACGGTTTCAGGAAGGAGAGGGCCCCCCAGTCACATCCGTCACTGCCCACGGACCCAAAGCTGCTAAAGCAGATCAGGAAGGCCGAGAAAGCCGAGAGGGAGTTCCGGAAGAAGTTCAAGGTGTGTCTGAGGGCTGGGAGTCGGGCCCCAGGAATCCCTCCTCGGAGAGAGGTGGGGAGCCGCCTGGGCAGCAGCTCTCACGCCTGCCCCACCTCCCCACCCCAGTTTGAAGGGGAGATTGTGGTTCACACAAGGATGATGATAGACCCCAATGCGAAGACCCGGCGTGGTGGGGGCAGACACCTGGGGATCCGGCGCGGGGAGATCCTGGAGGTGATCGAGTTCACCAGCCAGGAAGAGATGCTGTGCCGGGACCCCAAGGGCAAGTGTGAGTGAGCCAGGCCCTGTGTCTGGGAGGGAGGCCACCCCTGGGGCCGAGGACCCACTGAGCCTACTCATTCTCTCTGCAGATGGCTACGTGCCCAGAACCGCTCTGCTGCCCCTGTGAGTGCTGGCCCTGACTGGGGAGGGGGCTGGGTGTGCAGGGAGGACAACAGGCCGGGGGCCCCTGCTGACCCCACTATGCTCTCTGCCAGGGAAACGGAGGTGTATGACGACGTCGGCGTCTGGGGTAGGTAGACACTCGCTCGGGGTGGCTGGAAGGGACCAGTGACTCTGGGGCAGCGCCTGCTATCGAGCCTCTTGGGGAGGGGTCACTGGATCACACTTCCTCACAGACCCTCTGGAGAGCCAGCCATTCCTCCGGGGACAGTAAAGCCGACTGGTGTGGACACCTAGGACAGGCCACCAGCCTAGCCACCCACTCAGAAGCCCTGAACCTTGCCTCAACAGACGTCCGCCCACATAAAGCCCCTCTCCACAGCACCCCTGCGTGTCCTGTCTTTTGTTTCCCTCTGGACTGGCACTCAGTGGAGCACAGGCACAGGGTGACGGGGTCTCAGTCTCAGGGACAGAGGTGAGAGGGCAAGAGGTGGGGTGTGTGGGGTCTGACTCGGCCGCTCACCAGAGTGGGTGGGAGCTGGGTGGCAGTTCACCACCAACTCGCCAGTGGCTCCCTGAGAGCATCTAGTGGGGCCAGGACACCTGGTCTGTCAGAGCCCAGATGCCCTGGACACTGCCCACAAGCCCGCACGACAACCTGGTCTGGGAGAGCGACGACACGCCAGCTGGGAAGGAGCTGGTGCAGGGCCTGGGCCCCACAGAGCACCGTCCAGGAGCCAAGGCAGCTCCCTTCAGCCAGATGCTCCAGATGGGCATTCGGAACCCAGCTCCTCAGGGCCAGGGCCCTAGGGGTCAGCTCATGGCTCCGACGGAGCCAGGCAGTCTGAGTGCCTGCTCCCCAACACACACAAGCCAGCCACTTTCAGGAACTTGTATTTATTATCAAAGTCTTATTCGATGTCAACAAGATGCCACAACTACAAAAAAAATTGCGCACATTGCAATCTCAATGCAAACAGTCAAATGGAACCCCAGTCATTAAAAAAGTAATTCAAATTACCCCAAAAAGCAACTGAATTTTTTAAACATCTCTATACATCCAGCCAACAAATTAAAATGGTTAACAAGAAAAAATACAAATTCAGAGGTCTGGTATCGATGTTTAAAAAAGGCAAGTGCTTAAGCATTTCTATCGATTCGAACATCAATCTCTCGGCCACTCAGCTTCATGCCATTCATCATCCGGCAGGCTCGCTCCGCCACCTCTGGCGACTCAAACTTAACCACACCGCACCCCTTGGACTTCCCGTTCTCCATCTTGATGTCGGCGTACAGCACGTGGCCTGGCACAGGGAGGGAAGAAGAGACCACTCATCAGGCAAACCCAAGCTCAGTCTCAGCCTAGACTCCCCTCAGTCCAGATCACCTGTTGGATTTCAGTTGACAGAGTCAACACGGCCAGGTCTGGTACATGAACACAAAGAACATGGTGGCCAGGGCCAGCGACCACGGCCCCTCTGCCATGTTGCCATTTTCCTGCCAGCAGACAAGAGTCTGACCATGCCCCATGAAGAGCCTTCCTGGCGGCTTCAAACGCTCACCTTCACACTTCAGGAAGTTCAAAACACGGGGCTGTGTGAAGTCAGCTTACAGAAAAACTTCAGAGTCTGATTCGCCACCACCCACCCCATTACCAAGCCATCACCAACGCCACGGCCTCTTATGCCTAATGGCAGGCATGCGATAATTAGCGAGCAGCTCCACATTTTCACCCAAGCACCTACTATGTGCCCAGGTATGTGTCAAGCACCAGGGAAACCGGCCCACAGCAGGAGAGCCCTACAAGCCATGGGTTCCACTTCAGCAGGTGTCAAACACACAAGAGCAAGGTCAGTCTGGGCCCGACTCTGTGTCGAGGACAGCTGGCATCCCAGGGCTTCTCCCAGCCACGCTGTGAGGCAGCTTACTGGAAAATTCACTACAAGGGAGACCAGCTGGCACCTGAGCATTCCAGGGGACAAGCACCTGCAGTTGGTTCACAGATGGAAAGGAGACAAAAGGGGATATGGGGAGCAAAGTCTTCAAGGGGCCTGTGAGTTCAGACTTATCAAAGAGGTGGGGAAGAATTGCATGATCCAAGCTGACAAGACGGGACAACTAGGTACCACGTGGACACTGCAGAGCAGGGAGGGGAAGCGGCGTGGAGGAAAAGGCAGCTCTGACTGCACAGCTCACCAGGGAGAGGAGCGAGAGAAGCGGCCAGAACGAGACCTGTATCTCCACTGAAACAGGGAATGAGCATACACCAAGGAAGTCCTGACCCCACAGCCCCCTGGTGTGGCTGAAAAGGACACAGGTGCTAGAGTGAGGGCCGTGGGCCCACCCTGAAGGGCAGGGAAAGAAAACAACTTCCTTTTGGCCACAAAAGAGCCTTCCAGAAGCACTGCCTGGTGTGCCAGGAGACCAGAGAGACAGCCTCACCACACACGCTGTGGTGTGCTCAGCTCTGTCAAGCCTCAGCCATGGCACGTGCGGGGCAGGGGAGTACTCTGAAGGCACCAAGTCAGTGACTGTGCCTGACTCACGTGCACAAGGGGAACAACTATCTTGTTTCAAAACGTTACTCCAGAAGGAAGGAAAGGAGAACGTGGAGAGCGGAATGAGAACACAGAGCACAGCGTCTGGCACGTGCCAGGATGCTCAAACAATCTGCTCAACTATCTGCAGAGGCAGAAAAATGGCAAGGCCCTTTGCGGCCCACGGAGCTGCCAACCCCAGGACGGAAGCTTTGCAGCTGGACTCAATGGAGTCACGAGAAGCCACGACACAGGAAAGCACCGAGAGGGCCTTTCTCAGACACTCACCACATTCGTTGAACTTGTCCTTTAGCATCTTCCATGTAAAATCAAATGGGAGCTGAGGGGAAAAGGGGAGACTAATGTACACTTCAACCAAGTCTCAACACACACAAATCACAAGCGGCTCTGAGACACATTGGGGACTTGCGACTACAGAGAGGCTGGCTGATGTGCAGTCCAAGACCTCAGCCGCGAACAGCAGTGAGGTTCTCCAGCAGACCCCGGGGCCCTGCCTGCAGTGGCTAACATGGCCAAGTTGGTGCAGGCTGGTCAAGCACAGCCGCCTCGCTAAATTGCTGTGCCACGATGTGGGCACGCTCATGGCAAAGGCTCATGAAGCACACAATCAGCTCACTGTGGAGAAGCCACAGCCCCAGGACTCAGTCTTCGTCAAGTGCAGCGTGCTTTCCTACTCCCTTCTTGTCCCACCAGCGCCAGTCTCTGGGACAGGGCCAAGGCGTGCTCTCCTCACTGCCCCACTCCTCTTCCCTCAGTCCCACTGACCTCCTCCCAGCCCTCCTTGTGCACACCCCGAGGAGTCCATCAAGAGCCACTTACATTTCTCACAAAGATCTGGCAGGCCTTCCTGGCCACCCCAGGAGCATGGCCTCCAGCTCCACCAAAGGAACCTGCGAAGCTTCCTCCAAAGTTGCCACGTTCCATCTCAATGGCACGGTCAAAACTGGCACCTCCACCGCCACCCATGGCCAGGCCCATGCGCTCGATGCCAGCGCCCAGGGCTGGGCCCATGGCGGGGCCCATGCGCTCCAGGCTGTTGGCGCCCATGCGCTCCAGGCCCATGCGCTCGAGACTGTTGGCGCCCATGCGCTCCAGGCCCATGCGCTCGAGGTTGTTGGCGCCCATGCGCTCCAGGCCGCTGGCCATGCGATCCATCACGGGGCCCATCCGCTCCAGGCTGGCCCCCATGCCTGCTGGCACCATGCGCTCCATGCTCAGGCCCATGCGCTCGATGGCAGGGCCCATGCGCTCCACGCCAGAGCCCATCCGCTCAATGGTCTGGCCCACACGGTCAATGGGCGCAGCCATGCGCTCCAGGCCGAAGCCCATGCCGGCGCCCATGCGCTCCACACCAGAGCCAATGCGCTCCATGGTCTGGCCCATGCGCTCGATGCTGGAGGCCATGTGGTCGAGGCCCAGCGGGCCCATGCGCTCGATGCCGGAGCCCATGCGTTCCACTGAGCCCATGCGGTCCATGACCAGGCCCATGCGCTCGATCTCAGAGCCCACTCGATCCATGCCGTGGCCCAGGCCTGCGCCCATGCGCTCCATGCCAGCACCCCCGATGCGGTCGATGCCGGGGCCCATCCTCTCAATCCCCGGAACACTGCCTCCGCCTCCACCTGAAACAGACAAAAACATGAGTGAGTGTCACGGACTTGAGCATCAGTGTGCATACCACGCCACAGCTGGGCACTTCAGCACACAAACTCAACCACAGATCACTAATGCAGCCCATGAGGACTCATCCTCAAGACCTCCCTCAAATACTAACTGCTGTTACAGCTGGGTAACAGTGCACTGGGGTCGTGACAACACTGCCTATGCTGCGTCACGGCTGACATTTCCTAATCAAATCTGAGCCTCGCACCAATTTCTGAGACTTTGGTGCTACTTCCAGCTCTAGGGATGGAAAATGCTCTTCAGAAGAGAAGTGTGGAAAGCCCACACTCAATGGCCACCCAGTGTAATGCAGAGCAGTTACGTGGAGGTCAATCTGCATTTCCTTAGCTCTTCCAAGGCACAGTGAAGTGACTCTACAAGCCAACACAGATCCTCTGTGCACACAGCCAGCTACTTGTGTGCAACGTGGCTGGCTTTGGAAGGAAGCTGTTGATGGCCTTGCAGAGTGGACTGTGGAAGAAGCCTAGGGCCAGCCAGCTCGCAGCATGCAGTGACCCCCGTCCATGGTGCCTGCAGCTCTGAGCTGGACGGGAGCATCTGGCTCCAGCTCCAGGCCCCTCTGAAACTTCACCGCCACTGCCTGCCTCTGAAGACCGGCAGTTCTGCCTCAAGCGGCCCACTGCTGACCTAAGCAGCCCAGCCCAAGATGTGAATTCAGGGAGAAACAGAGCTGTCTCTGTAACTGCCCACAGCTGTGACCCTTCACAAGCCACTCTACTCTCTGTGCTGCTTCTTGGCTGAAGACCACCATACCAAGTGGCAAAAAAGTGCACACACTTCCAGGACATCAGGCTCTGAGAGCACAGATGTCTCAGGGACCCTAACTTCCTCGCTGCCACAGGAAAAAGGCAGAGCCCTAGCAAGCACAGGAGGCCTGCCCAGCAGCATCAGAAATGAGGCGACTCCCAGTGCCAAGGGCAGCAGAGACTGAGAACGCAACAGGGCCCCCGTGGACTCCAGAGTCAGCCTGCCACAGCAGTAAGGAGCGAATGGATACAGCAAAGCAAGGCTAAGGTACTCAGAGCCTCGAGGAAAAACTGGACTGAAAAAGTGCCGTTAGTGCTACGTGCCCTGTGCACGTATGGCTCCATACCGAAATGTCTGCAGCATTTATCGCTGGGCAGTGTGGCAGCGCGGGCTTTCACACAGTATATATTTCTTCATACTTTCTGGATGTTTATAACGAGGACAGGCTCATAATTTAGGCAAGTGCCTGTTATGATAGGTGGCCGTGTGCTTTCAGGTTTACAATAAAGGAAAACTTGCCTTTGGGAATTTACAATTTTAACCGACAGAGAGTAAGAAACCCCAAATCACATAAGCATCACAAGGGCAACAGCAAGCATTCACACAAGTACTTCTGTGTACATTAGCTCATTTACTCTTCACAACAACCCTGTGAGGCTGGTACTATTATATCCCATTGTCCACAAGTAGTGTGAAAACAGAGAGGTTCAGTAACTTGTCACACGTCACACAGCTAGGGAGAGGCAGAGCCACACTTTTCACACCACAGGTGCACAGCAGGAGCAGCCTGTTCTAACAGTCAGAACAGCACACTAAGGTTTCCTACCTCCTCCCTGCTTTGCAATGATCTCTCCTCTCTTCAGTGCATTACTTAGGATTTCTAAGGAATCAGGAAGAAAAAAAAATTAGCCAATTGCTCTACGGTAACAGAAATTTGCTCATTACAGATTCCAGAGTAGCAAACCAACTAATAAATTATTTAAGGAAAGAAAGAAAAGGGTAAGGGGTATGAGAAATACACACACAGACAAGATCATTTTATGGAAAACTGAGAGTCCTTGACGTCGGGTCATCATGCTAGGATCCTGTGTAGCTCCAGAATCTGGGGCCCAGTCTGTAAGGTCACCTGCGAATGCGTCCAGCAGAGCCAGGAGCCATGTGCATCCATGAACTGAACTTGGAGCAAGAACAGGGTCTCAGCCCTTGTTTAGCAGTTTTCTCAAGCTGGTTCAGACCCTCAGTGGCGAGGCTTCCCCCCACACTGGGCAGGAAACAGGCCTCTCCCTGGGACTTCCTGCTCAGAAGACTGAGGCCTGCACTCATGCACCAAGATCCACTCAACACCTCTCTGAAGCTGTAGATATGCTATCAAGGGAGCTTCAAATGGTTCATGGAAAGGAGTATTAAATATGAATTTTCCATAAACTTTTTGAAGCCCCATGTACAGCCTAAATAAACGGTGAGGGCCAGCAGCACCTTTGCACAGTGCTGAGACCACCGCCTACTTGACGAGCACTGTGTGGAAACACCTCAGCAACCTGAGCAGGTCAGCCTTGCCCCAAGTAAGCTTTGTGCAACTGCAACTAAGTGACAGAGAGAGCTGCATGGACATTCACAGATCCCCCTGTGCAGACTCACTATTTGAACCTACTTTTCCCCTGGACCCACAGATCCTCACCTTCAAGCCTCTGCACCTGCACCTGTCCTCTCTCTGCTAGGAAGCCCAGCCTGTCAGCTTCAAGCCCATGCCTATCAGCCATTGACAGCAATGCCTTTCATGCCCTAACAAGACACCCAGGAAAAAATGGTCTTTGCAGGACCACATGTTTGCAGTGAAGGCCCGAGATTCAATGGCTCCACAATGCCTCCCCTGGTGCCATCCTGAGCCTCTCTGGATAGACCAGGTCCTTCAAGGTTAAGGGCCTATGCATATCATTGAAGCACCAAGTACAAATGAATTCCACAAAGAAGTGCAAACATCTATGCTTTGATAGACGAGGACACAGCAGGAAGGCTAGAGAGAGCAGTACCTCAACAAGTCAAATGTCACATAAAGGACACAGGAAAAGTGTGGGGAGCAACTCGGACTAGACTGTTACTGGAATTAAGACTTATTCTATGCATCTGCTTTCCCACAATATGGCGCTGAGAAGGGAGTAACAGCTTCTACACAGCTGCCTCCAGTTCAACCAATAAACTGTAGGACCTGCTCCTGATTGGAGGAGAGCAGCGTACTCGGCGTGTGGGTAGCAGAGTTGGGATTGGTGGAAGAGGACTATAAAGGAGGAGAGACAATATGCACCAGGAACATCTAAGAGGAACATCTGAAGGAACACCTGAGCAGCCCCCGAGAGAGCCGGCCGGCGGTGTGCCGCTCCCCTGCGTAAGTGGGGAAAGTGGCAGGGGGCCCGCCCCTCCACGGAGGTGGAGGGATGGTAGCCAACCCGGGAAGAACCAGCAGCAAACCCGGGGAGGGCCGAGCAGACAAAAGAACAGCGCAGGGTCCTGTGTCGTTCCTCCACGAAGACGGGGAGCGACATAATGGTGCCGTGACTCGGATATGAAGCCTAGGCAGGGTTTAGTGTCGTTCCTCCACGAAGAGGGGGAGCGACATAATGGTGCCGTGACTCGGATATGAAGCCTAGGCAGGGTTTAGTGTCGTTCCTCCACGAAGAGGGGGAGCGACATAATGGTGCCGTGACTCGGATATGAAGCCTAGGCAGGGTTTAGTGTCGTTCCTCCATGAAGAGGGGGAGCGACATAATGGTGCCGTGACTCGGATATGAAGCCTAGGCAGGGTTTAGTGTCATTCCTCCACAAAGAGGGGGAGCGACAGAAAAGAGATCAGGAAATGAATCCAAGGGACAGCTGTTGTGGCACAGGTTTAAGACACCACTTGGGAAGCCCAAACACATGCCATCCAATATCAAAGTGCTGCCAGTTTGAGTCTCAGCTCCCAAGTTCTGGCCAACCATATGGGAAACCCAGATGGAGCTCCTGGGTCCTGGCTTCAGCATGCCCATGCCCATGCCCATGCCCATGTTCCAGCCCCAGCCCCAGCCCCAGCCAATCCAGGCCAACTACTCTGAAAACCCAACTCAATATTTTGTTTGGGGGGGCTGACATACTAATATAGGTGCCAGTTTAAATCCCAGCTGCTCCACTTTTGATCTAGTTCCCTGCAAATGTGCCTGGGAAGCCGCAGAAAATGGCCCAAATCCCTGAGCTCCTGCACCCACGTGGAAACTCAGGAGCTCCTGGGTCCTGGCTTCAGCCTGGCCTAGCCTGTCATTGCAGTCATTTGGGGAGAGAACCAGCAGATGGAAGATCTCTCTCTCCTCTCTGTAACTGCCTTTCAAATCAATCAATCAATCATTATATAAAATTTTTGTTTGGGACAAAGACCATTTTATTATCTCAATCTGATCACAAGTATCAAATTCCAGGACAAAGAGACTCCACAGTCTTGGGTGATGTCATCCCTCAGGTCAGGGGAGCAAGTACCCTATGGCCGCAGGAAGTATTCCCACAGGCAAGAAGCCAGCATTCAACTCTTGGAACAAAGTTGACAGATTCATCAGAGGTGTGAGATAAACACCTTGCCAAGTCACAGACATACCATCTTGTTCTTACCACAGACACCCACAAATTAGTATTTGTGGCAAAATGACAGTATTTTTTTTAACATACAAAAATGAATCTAGTCCTGGCAGCGGGAAACTAGGCATATACAGGTATGAATTTACTACCCCGCATTCTAAGCCAACCTGGCACCAAGCTATAGGCAGTCACAGCAAGCCCAGGAGCAAGTGACTCTTCATTAGCAGCCTAGGAAGGTATGAGAAATCATCCAGGTTACTTCACCATGCTAAGGGTAAAAGAAACACACATCTCTACCAAACAGTGCCGGCATCCCACATGGGTGCCAGTTCGAGACCAGGCTGCTCCACTTCCGATCCAGCTCTCTGCTGTGGCCTGGGAAAGCAAAGGAAGAAGGCCCAGGTCCTTGGGCTCCTGCACCCGACACGGGCGATCTGCAAGAAGCTCCTGGTTCCTGGCTTCAGATCAGCTCAGCTCTAGCCGTTGCGACCACTTGGGGAGTGAACCAGTGGATGGAAGACCTCTCTGTCTCTCTCTTCAACTAACACTATAGGCAATTTTGCTAGGGCCTCACAGATACTAAGAACACAGATGCCACAAACTACACAAAAAAGCTGAAAACAAGAAACGCCTGCCATCTAATCCAAACGGGAACAGCTGCTCTACAGCCAGATGGTTCACACTACCCCAGGCCTTCCACCGTCAGATCCTTCCTAGTCAACCCAGAGCGTCCACAGGCAGCAGCAAGCACAGTGGCCTGAGGCAGGAGACTCTTGCCCCCGAGCCTACACTGTCAGAGAAACGTGGCAGGTTTAATTCCCACAGCACACGAAAGCCTTATGCCATTTTCCTAAAATGTCTTTAAGAGACAAAGAAAAATCATGCTACTACTATCAAGAAGAACTTAAAGGGCCATATGTTTTTAGTTTTGTCTAGAAAACAAACAATTTTTTAAAAGCCTAAGGAAAAACAGCTGCCTTGACTAAGACAAACCTTTCTAGACAAACCTCACTGCGAGGGTGAACGCTGACAGCCAGGACACTGGGCCTTCTTACCCGCTCCTCCTTTCCTCTGCCAGGGGCCTCCCCAGAGCTTCCAGGCATTCCTGTCTCGTTCCTGGCAAACTGTCTCCAATCTTCCACCCACGCCACACTTTACCTCTGGGGAAAATACTGCCCTAAGGCCTTTGAGGAATACCACTGTGTTTCAGACAAAAGCTAAACAAACTACAGACACAAAACAGCCACCACCACCAAGTCAGGAAGTCTAAGTATTCCACAGCAAACCATTATTCATTCTTTTTTTTTTTTTTTTTTTTTTGACAGGCAGAGTGGGGAGAGGGGGAGAGGGAGAGGGAGAGAGAGAGAGAGAGAGAGAGAGAGAAAGGTCTTCCTTTTTGCTGTTGGTTCACCCTCCAATGGCCGCCACGGCTGGCGCGCTGCAGCTGGCGCACCGCGCTGATCCGAAGGCAGGAGCCAGGTGCTTCCCCTGGTCTCCCATGGGGTGCAGGGCCCAAGCACTTGGGCCATCCTCCACTGCACTCCTGGGCCACAGAAGAGAGCTGGCCTGGAAGAGGGGCAACCGGGAAAGAATCTGGCGCCCTGACCGGGACTAGAACCCGGTGTGCCGGCGCTGCTAGGTGGAGGATTAGCCTATTGAGCCGCGGCGCCGGCCCATTCTTCTTTCCTTAAAAATGAAATTCACTATAAGCTAATCCCTGAAAGCCTATCTTTAGTCCATAAAGGAATAGAACCAATTTACAGCTTCCATTCCAGCCACACAAAGGGTTCACCAAGCACTCACTATTGCAGTTGACTGTTGTGTGTGTGTGTGTGTAGGTGGGGGTGTCACCTGTAGAGCAGGCTGAATCAAAGGGAAGCCACAGAGGAGCATGCCCACCACTACAGCAGCTGCCACATGGCACCTACTGCACACTTGGCTCATAACCCCACCAAGGGCCTTCCATGTTCTTACAAACCCACCTGCATTACCATCCACCAACCACTGTCCTTTACACAGAAACTGAGGCTCAAATGATTCCCAATCTGGTCAACATCACATGCTGGTATGGGGCGAGAAAAAGGCTGAGACCTCAATCTAATGTGAACACCCATGTTCTAATACAGAACCCATCCATACACACGGCATAGGAAGACTTCACTGACAGCAGGAGTGGTGTCACCTACATAATGCGATATGGATAACTTGTCGTTTTTTATAATGTCTTAAAACAAAGCTCTCAGCTTATGTGGGTAAAGGTTGAGCACAGCTGGCCCCTTTCACAGATCCTGCTGCCAGCTACTTCTTTCCTGTATGTCCATCTCATGCAGCTGCAACATGCCTCCCTCCTGTGCTGAGAAATCCTTCAAGAAGTGAGTGTGATGAACCTCGGTACTCAGAGACAGCAGGTGGGCACGTGCCACCTGAAGGGCACTTTTTATTGTACAACTAAGAAAACTACTTACGTGCAGCCCTCACATCCTTTCAGTGATGGACAGGTCCAATAGAGGTGTGGAAGCAGGGAGGCATCACAAACTAATAGGGGCTCTGGCAATGGGTGACTTAGCAGTCAAGAGTATCAATCAACCCAAATGAGCCCCTCTTCGCCCCCTGGCTGCTGGCATCACATCTGACCTGTGCAAGCCTAAGGGTGAGAGGCAGTGGTCACTCACTGGAGGGAGTGAAACAATCCCAGAGTGGCATCATCACAGAGCTCTGTAGCTCTCCTAGCCCTTGTAAGCCAATGGGACGGTGGCACACTTCTCAGAGGGGGCAGCCACATGCAGCCCTTAATGTGCTAGTAAAAGCCTCAGAACTTACCTTCCCAATGGTCAGCAGGGCCTAGAGTTATGGAAACACTGTACAAACTCCAATTTACTGAAGCTGCACATGTGGAAGGGGGAGTTATTTTCACTGCTAAATATTACATTAAACTAGTCTTTGATGTTTGACAGTCTTCTGGTTTAAAACACTTGAAAGCCAATCTATCGAGATTTAACATATATTGTTTGGCCTGAGAACCTCATGTAAAATCAATATCTATTTGGGGCCGGCATTGTGGTGTAGCAGGTAAAGCCACCACCAGAATCCCACAGGGGTGTCAGTTTGTGTCCGGGATGCTCCACTTCCAATAGAACTCCCTATTTATGTCCTGGGAAAAAAAGATGATGGCCCAAGTGCTTAGGTGCCTGTCACCCATGTAGGAGACCCAGATGAAGCTCCTGGCTTCAGGCTAGCCCAGCCTGGCGGAACTGCAGCCATCTGGGGAGTGAACATACAGATGGAAGACCTCTGTCTCTCCCATTCCCCTCTAGGAACTCTGACTCTCAAATAAATCAATCTTAAAAATGAATAAACGAATAAAATCAGTCTGGTGTCTGCACCTGCAACCCTACCGCATGCATTATGGTCACCAATTGTTAAAGTCAAGGGCAGCGGTTGGGCACAGTGGTTGTGACAGTGCTTGGAAGGCCAGCAGACCATATGGGAGTGCCTGGGTTCAAGTGCTGCCTCCCCTTCTGATTCTAGCTTCCTGCTAATTGCATACCTGGGCAGGTAGCAGTGACAGCTCAAGTGGGTTGGCTCCCTGCCACTCATGTGCCATTGAACTACACTGAGTTCCTGTGGGGATTTGGGAAGTGAAACAAATGAGAGCTCACTTGCTCTCTCATATACTCTCACAAATAAATTGAAATTTAAAACATTAATCAAAGCAAAGACAGCTTCATAAATTCTTTTTCCACTGTGATTTTAAACATTCCGTGCACTCAGCACCCAAGAGCTCTTGAGTTCATTTCACCCAAATGTACACAGATCAAGTGTGAAGTTGTTGTTCTCAGCAACAGAGGACAGAGTACCACCCAAGAACGTCTAACCCACAGCACCCAAACACACACTCCACGTCTGGTTCTCCAGAGAACAGTACTTGACTTTGTTCACCACGCTCAGAATCTTAACTGCTGGACTACACATACCAATTTACAGGGACTTGGTCCCACATCTCAGCACAGCTCCCAGACCCGACTCACCTTGTTTCCATCTACCCCTAAATTGCACCACTGCGTTCAGAGCAACCATCCAAACCCCCTGCAAATGACTAGTACCCCAGACTTCTCAAATTCTCACTTCTTACTTAACTCCCGCATACACATGACACCGGCAAGCCTAGGAGCTCATATGACCCTTCATGCCTACCTCATCACAACGGCCTCCCTGCATATTTTAATCACCATCTTCTAGAACAAGGTAGGGAACTTCTGGCCCACAGGTCCCACAAAATCATCTGTTCTGGCCCTGCCAAGGCAGCCACAGGCAGGACAAACAATTCAATACATACATAGCAGGCTCTTTTAAGCTGATAATTCTATATGGCCCACAAATGATGTTATAAATATTCAAATAGCCTTTGGCCAACCAGGTTTCCTATCCATTCCAGAGCTAGGCGGTACCCCTGAAAACAGCTAAAAACACCCTGCCTGCCTCCTTCCTGTGCGCAGGCAGAAATGCCTTTCAAGCCTGAGAGTTAAAGTACATCCTTGGTTAAGGTTCTTGCTTGCTCTATTTTATTTTCACATATAGGTTATTACAGAAGAGAAAAAAAAAATCCACCAAATTCTTGATAACTTCCTATCCCAGGAGAGTTTACATTTATAGAAGCAGCAGCCTTCCCACAGGTGGCGGTCAGAGAGTCAACCAGCATACAGAGGACTTCAGAGAAGACTTGGGCTCCTCAGGCCCACTCTACAGCCCTACTGGTGCACAGGGCTGACGCTGTGCTGGAGGCAATTCTAAAAGGCAGGATCGCAGCGTGACGAAGAGCCAGGCTCTGGAGCCAGCCTGGGTACACATCCTGGCACCAAAATGTACTAGCCACGTGACCTTAGGCAAGTCACTGTCTGTGCCTCGGTTTCCGGTGAAATGAGTAGAACAGTACCTACACGTCATGTGATTCTTGCAAGGACTAAATGAAACATGTTATTATTACAATTAGCATTATCAGCACATTACTGTTAAAAGGCTGGGAGGGCTAAAGACTCCACGGATATAGTACATAAAATGTGCACTATGTAAATGATAAATTAAAAGAGTTTGTGGTTTTTATGAATGCCTCTGCCCACAACCTGCAGTTACCAGGGCAGGCAGACTAACGGTATCCACTCCCTAACACTCCTGGGAAGGCAAAACACGAAGAAGCTCTCACACGTGGAGAACATGTTACAGGGAGCAAAACAGTCACAGATACCCACATGCTTTTTACTGCTGAAGGCAATAGCTTTTTAATTTTCACTGGACAATTATCGAGAGATTTGTAACACAGATCATCTCGAGTTCAGTGATTCAATCTGGTCAAGTTTTGCTTTTGAAACATTTAAGGCCATTCAAAAACATCTGATATGGCAGAAAAGGAGGAGGAGATCATTTTTAATTACAAGTAGGTCTGCAGCCTAAGGGTCACCTAAGAGGCAGCAGCTAGCAAACGTGTCAACAGGAAGGAAACAGAATCCTTACCGTTTATCCTGCCCATGTTCATCCCAGATCCAAATCGCCCCATGTTTTCCATACCACCACCAAAGGGGCCTTCCATGGCTGCAAGAGAGGAAAACATTTTAATTTTAGCATCATCCCAACAAGTCCACTTAAACCAGCAGGGTAAAGAGAAATGTTTTCACATGTTTCACTTTGGGTGTTTTCCCCAAGGAACTGTCGGTTCCAGGGCTTTTGAGAAAATACTGCTGGTTCCCTTGTTTAAAAATCATCTTCTAAAGCTGATGTGATCCACCCCCACCAAGAGTAGAGAAGCAAAAAAGGTCCAGAGATGGAGTGATTTGACCATGGTCACAGAGCTAGTTAGTAAGAAAGAGCCAAGTGCCAAAACACCACCAGACAGATGGACAGATGAGAAAAGTAATTTCTAGACTCAAACCTCCTGCAAACCAAAATGAGAATTTCATGCAAGGCTCAAGAGAGAAAAAAGGAAGGGGGGGGGAAAGAACCACATCTAAAGGTGATTATATAAATACTGTTCTTACCTCCCATTTTATTTATTCCAAATCCTATGCCTTCCATTCCCATTCCTTAAAAAGAAAAAGTCAATGCAAACTAAAATTATGTCAAAGCAATAACGTTTAAACTTTAAAAAGCACAAGAAATTTCAAGTAAGCAAATGAACAAAAAATATCCCTGATGATGCATATATTTTGTCAAGAAAACTAGAAGGGCCTTTTCAACTCCAACTGTCGAAAGATCACAATCCTAAGAAAACTAAGCCTTCAACAAAATATCATCACATGGCTTAAAATTCTATAGGATTTACACTGTTTTTATTAAATAACCAAGTAAAAAAGTATTAAACATGAAACAATTAACAAATATAATCCATAAAACATTTACTTTTTATATTTTATGGAATAGGATTTAGAAATAACCCTTTTAAAACTTACAACCTTCAAAATAATAAGCAGTTCCTTGAAGCTTCAAGGCTTCCCCCTTTGCACCTAGTCTTTCCTCTTAGGTGTCAATCACTGGATTGGTGGGGGTGGGTAGACTGGCAGAGCCCTGGACCAGGAGGCCAGCCCCAGAGGGGATCCTGGGAGGGAGATTAGGGCTACACAAAACTGGCAGTGGTAGTGGATGACACCCAGTGGATGGCAATTTCAAAGGATTCCAAGGCCTAAGTCTGTGGTCATAAAGGAAATATTCCTTAATGGTTTGAAAATACCTCCTTAAACAGAAATGAAACAGTAAACAAGGAAATTTAAGATTATCCTTCACATCTGGGCTTTCATCTGTGCTCTATCCCTTGTCTTCTTGAACAAAAAACTGTCCAGTCTTTTCCTGGGATCCACGATAGCCAGAAGGTCACACAGCAAGACCTACTCTTCTGCACCTACTGCTGCTCCTGCTTCTAAAAGCATCAACACCAGGGGGAGCCCAAAGAGCTCTGGGCAGTAGATTCAAGGCATGACAGCACTGCTGGGTCCTGTGGTCAGGAGACCAGCAGTCTGTCACTGACTGTGTGACCTTGAGCAAGACCTACCCTCTGGCTTGCCTTTTACTGAGTGCCATAACACCTTTGCTCAGAAAGCCATTGTGAGAGGACAAAACAAAAAGACATAATGTCTTTTAATAAAAAAAGGATTCAATTCAGAACAGAATACTGCCTTTTATCAAAACAAAGCTGAGAAGAACAAAGAGGGAATTTTCTGTCAATTAAAACTTTTATTCCATTTGAACTATTCAAGGTCTAATTATTCCAATAGTTAACTTTAATAACGTTTACTCCCCTAGAAATCCCCCAAAGTGTACGCATTTCTCACCTGCAGGCCCTATGTTTCCCATACCAATGCCTTTATTCAAATGATTGGCATCAATAGGCTGCCCTCCTGGTCCTAACCCCATGCCGATACCACCAAGTCCATCTGGAAGGAAAAGAGTGTGTCAGAAGTGTAGACTGGGGAGAAGTTTAGCCTAGTAGTTAAGATAACTAACCCCACACCTGAGCGCCTGCATTCAATTCTGGAGTTCAACCCCCAACTCCCAGGTGCAGACCCTGGGAGGTACCATTGAAGGCTTGGCTGCCTCCCACATGGGAGACCTGGATTGTGTTTCTAGCTTCAGCCTGGGCCCAACTATTATGGGCATTTAGGGGAGTGAATCAGCACAAAGAACTCTTGTTACTCTATCTCAAAATAAAAACAAATTAAAAAAAAAAAAAAGTTAAAAAGGTATAGATTACCCTTACTAGAAAACCTTGACACTTACAGGCAGTCTCCACAGGGTGTACTGCAGCTACCATACTCCACTCCCCCAACCCCTTCACTAGTGAACACAGGTCCAATTCAGAATTCAACATGGGCACACTCAGTGCACTCCCTCCCTTAGGCATAATCTTATGCCATGTGGCATAGTGGGTAAAGCTGCTGCCATCCCATATGAACAACAGTTTGAATCCCAGCTACTCCACTTCTGATCCTGCTCCCTGCTAATGCACCTGGGAAAGCAGTGGAAGATGGCCCAAGTGGTTGGGTCCCTGCACCCACATGAGAAACCCAGAAAGAAGTTCCTGGCTTCAGTCTGGCCCAGCTCTGGCTGTTGCGGACATTTGGAGAACGAACCACCCATGGAAGATATCTGTGTGTGTGCGAGTGTGTCTCCCTCTTTAACTCTTTCAAATAAATAAAATAAGGTGTGCGTCGTATATGCCACAACAGCAGCAGCTAAAAATCACTTCATGTGAATGTTACCCAGAAGAACTAAGAACCATCTATACAGTAAGAACCCTGAGGGGTCAGCACTGTGGAGGAGCAGGTAAAGATGCTGCCTGCAATACCAGCATCCCAAATGAGAACTGGTTTACATCTCAGCTGCTCCACTTCTGATCCAGCTCTCTGCTAACGGCCTGGGAAAAGCAGCACAGGATGGCTCAAGTGTTTGGGTCTCTGCACCCACATGGGAGACTCAGATGAAACTCCTGGCTTCAGCCTGGCCCAGCACTGGATGTTGCAGCCATTTGAGGATTTAATCAAGGGATGGAAGCTCTCTATTACTTTTAAATAAATAAATAAATCTAACACACACACACACACACATACACACAACCCAAGCACCTATTTGCTTCCCTAAATCACAAACCGACAAACGTTTGATCAAAAGGAGCCTCGGGGGCCAGCACTGTGGTGTAGCGGGTAAAGCTGCAGCCTGCAGTGCCGGCATCACACAAGGGCACTGGTTCATATTCTGGCTACTCTGCTCCCAATCCAGCTCTCTGCTGTGGCCTGGGAAAGCAGTAGAAGATGGCCCAAGTCCTTGGGCCTCTGCACCCACATGCGAGACCCAGAGGAAGCTCCTGGCTTCGGATCGCCGCAGCTCCAGCCGTTGTGGCCATATGGGGAGTGAACCAGCAGATGGAAGATCTCTCTCTCTGCCTCTCTGTAACTCTACCTTTCAAACAAATAAATATTAAAAAAAAAAAAAAAAAAAAAGGCACCTCAAGTCATCAGGTGGCAAGAAGTATAAATGTGCCCTGACAGACCAAAGAACTTTGCTTGGGGGGGGGGGGGGGTGAAGAAAAGCTACATAGCAGCCAATCACCACACTGAGCCACACTATTCTCTCCATCTGAGTAGGCTGAGTAATGGTGGAGTTAGTGTTCCTGACTGCAAAGATTCAACTCCTGGCACCCAGCCTACCCTCAACACCAGGCCCTATAAACACAAACAAGAACACAATACAGATCCATGTCTGGAACAAGGCTCTAAGTAAACACAGTCTGACAAAAAAAAGAGGAAGGAGGACAAAACTCATACACACACTCTGCCACCAGCTCCCAGGCATTTAATCTGATTAACACTCCTGTTTTCAAATGCACAGCAACAGCATCGAGGGATCACCAAGGTCACTCACTCCCCAAAACACTGAAGGGGACCAGACGCCAGAGGAATGAGCTCCTGGGCCCAGAGTACTCCTTCTCCAGGCACAAGGCAACAAGAGTTGCTGCCCACCTCCTGGGGGAAATCACTGCAAGTCATCTGCTTGAGAAACGGATGTGGTGAGGAAGTGTGGCCCTTCCCTAACAGATAAGATTTCATTTGTTTGGGGGGGTGGGGGGACAGGGACAGGGAGAGAGGTCGCTGGTTCACTCCCCAAATGGCTGCAATGGCTGGAGCTGAGCTGATCCAAACCCAGGAGCCAGAGCTTCTAAAGACTCCCATGTAGGTGCAGGGGTCCAAGAACCTAAGCCAACCAACACTGCCTTCCCAGGTGCACTAACAGGGAGCTGGATCGGAAGTGGAGCAGCAGGGACTCGTACATAATGACACCAACACAGGATATCACTGAGCTGGCCCCCATCTCTTTTTTTAAAGATTTATTTATTTTACTTGAAAGAGTTACACAGAGAGAGGAGAGGGAGGCAGGCAGGCAGGCAGGCAGGTGCAGAGAGAGAGAGAGACAGAGAGAAAGGTCTTCCTTTGCCGTTGGTTCACTCTCCACTTCCATCCGATGGTTCACTCTCTAATTGGCCGCAATGGCCGGAGCTGTGCCGATCCAAAGCCAGGAGCCAGGAGCTTCCTCCAGGTCTCCCACATGGGTGCAGGGGCTCAAGGACTTGGGCCATCTTCTACTGCTTTCCCAGGCCACAGCAGAGAGCTGGACAGGAAATGGAGCAGCCAGGTATTGAATTGGCGCCCATATGGGATGCTGGCGTAAAGGCCAGGGCGATAACCCACCAGTGCAGGCCCCCTTTATTTTTTGTTTTCAAAATTTATTTATTTCAGAGGTAGAGTTATAGACAGTCAGAGGGAAAGAGGGAGAGAAAGAAATGTCTTCCATCTGCTGATTTACTCCCCAAATGGCCGCAATGGCCAGAGCTGGGTTGATCCAAAGCCAGGCGCTTCCTCCAGGTCTCCCACACGGGTGCAGCAGAACATGACCCAAGTGGTTGGGCCTCTGCACTCGTGTGGGAGACCCAGAGCTGCTCCTGGCTCCTGGCTGCAGACAGGCCCAGCTCTGGCCATTTTGGCCATTTTTGGAATGAAACAGTGGGTAGAAGTTCTATCTTCCCCTCTCTTGGTCTGTAACTCTACCCCTCAAATAAATCTTCAAAAAATAAAATACAATAAAAATAAATAAATCTTAAAACTCCATCCCTATGGGGCCGAGTTGTGGCACAGCAGGTTAAATCACTGTCTGTAAAGCTGACATCCCATATGAGCACCAGTTAGTGTCTGCTACTTTTTTTTTAAGAATTTTATTTTTTTTTAATATTCGTTTATTTGAAAGAGTTACGGAGAGAGAAGGAGAGGCAGAGAGAGAGAGAGGCCTTCCATCCTCTGGTTCACTTCCACAGTTGGCCTCAACGGCCAGAGCTGTGCAGATCAGAAGCCAAGAGCCGGGGCCAGCAACGTGGCGTAGTTGGTTAATCCTCCGCCTGCGGCGCCGGCATCCCATGAGTGCTGGTTGTAGTCCAGCTGCTCTTCTTCCAATCCAGCTCTCTGCTGTGGCCTGGGAAAGCAGTAGAAGATGGCCCAAGTCCTTGTTTCCTGCACCCGTGTGGGAGACCTGGAGGAAGCACCTGGCTCCTGGATTCGGATCGGCACAACTCCGGCTGTTGCGGCCATTTCGGGAGTGAACCAACAGAAGACCTTTCTCTCTGTCTCTCCCTCTTACTGTCTGTAACTCTACCTCTCAAATTAATAAATAAAATCTTTAAAAAAAAAAAAAAAAAAAAAAAAAAAAAAAGGCAGCCAGGAGCCAGGAGCCCCCACATGGGTACAGGGGCACAAGAACTTGTGCCATCTTCTACTGCTTTCCCAGGCAATAGCAGAGAGCTGGATCGGAAGTAAAACAGCCAGGACATCAACTAGCACCCATATGGGATGCCAGCACTGCAGGCGGTAGCTTTAACTGCTCCGCCACAGCGCTGGCCCCAAGTCCCTGCTACTCTACTTCTGATCCAGCTCCCTGCTTGCATAGTTGGGAAAGCAGTGAGAATCTGCCCAAGTGTTTGGGCCCCTGCCACTCACATTGGAAACCTGGATGGAGTTCCTAGCTCCTGGCTTCAGCCTGGCCCAGAACCAGCCATTTAGCCATTTAGAGATTGAACCAGTGGATGAAGATCTCTGTCATTCTGCCTTTCAAATAATTAAAAAAAAAAAAAAGAGGTCTTTATTAGCAGTTACTCTCCATTTTCTCTGGCCCAAGGAATCATTAATCCACTTTTTGCTTTTGCAGATCTGTGTATTTTGGGCATTTTCCACAGGTGGAAATGTTCAGCCATATTGCAACAGTTGTCCGAGTTTCCTTCCTTTTTACGGCATAACAAGACTTCACTGAATGGACTTACTGCATTTTATTTATCTACTCATCAGCTACAGAGTCATTACAACTTTTTTTAAATTTATTTGTACATAAAGATTTATTTATTTATTTGAAAGGCAGAGTTACAGAGAGGCAGAAAAAGAGGTCATCCATCCGCTGGTTCACTCCCCAAATGGCTGCAACAGCAGAGCTGGGCCAATCAAAAGCCAGGAGCTAGCATCTTCTTCTGGGTCACCTACATGCAGGGGCACAAGGACTTGGGTCATCTTTCACTGCTTTCCTAGGCCACAGCAGAGAGCTAAACCGGAAGTGGAGCAGCCGGGTCACAAACTGGCACCCTTATTGTTGCTGGATGCTAGCACACAGGTGGCGGCTTTACCTGCTATGCCACAGCGCCGGCCCCCATTTCAAATTTTTTGGCTATTATGAAACATGCTGTTAGGAACACTGATATTAAATGTTAGAAAATATAGTTAATTTTCTTGGAGTACACCTAGGAGTGCAATACCAGGCTACATGATGCAAACAATCTATTCAGAACCTCTGTGTAGGTTGCTTGAGTTCCCTTTGCGATTTCTGGCTCTTCCACCCTGAGGACACTTTGCATAACGCCTTGCATCCTCCACACTGAGCAGCCTCCTCACAATGCAACCCTCACAATCCTCAAATCCTAATTCCTCTGCTCACTTCTTTTTCTTTTCCTAAGATTTACTTATGGAGCCAGCACTGTGACATAGCAGGTAAAGCCGCTGGCCTGGTATGCTGGCATCCTATATGGGCATCGTTTCGAGTCCCAGCTGCTCCACTTCCAATCCAGCTCCCCACGGACGGCCTGGGAAAAGCAGAAGAGGCCCAAGTGTTTGGGCCCCTGCCACTCACGTAGGAGACCCAGGGGAAAACTCCTGACTCCTGTCTTAGGCCTGAAACAGACTGGGCCCTGGAGGCCATCTGGGATGGAAAATCTCTCTCTCCCAATCTCTCTGCAACTCTTTCAAATAAATCTCTCAGGGAAAAAAAAAAAAAAAAAAAATTACTTGAAAGGCAGAGTTACAGAGAGAGATGGGGGAGAGAGAGAGAGAGAGAGACTCTGCTCATTTCTCATCCTGTAGAACCTACAGACAACAACTGGTCAAGAGAACTGCAGACCACCCTGGCACAATTTCAAGTGTAACTGCTCCATAGTTTTGATTAGTGTTAACTCCACTCAAATTCAAACCTTCAGCTATAATAATTGAAACACTTACGGGGCAGTTGTTGTGGACGCTCAGGAGGGAAAAAATCTCCCTTTGGTAAGGCCCTCTCATCCTGAAAGACAAAGAAAATGCATATATCTCAGTATCTACTGCAGCACTATTTGCAACAGCAAAAGATGCAACAACCTCACCCTTCCCCACCCCGTCAACATGTGACTGGTTAAATAAATAATACATCCACAGCACAGGATGCTTGGCAAGGGTGAAGGGCATTGTGGGAAGGCACTTATTACCTCTGCATCAAGGAAGACAAAAAATACACACATGCCTACTGCTGTGGGGGATGGTGGGGACCTGCAGAGTCTCAGTGAAACACTCATGTTTGTGTGTGAATCCAGTATCCCAAAACTCCCTTTAGAGTTCATCCTTGGGTCCTGTGTTCATCACATGTCCTAACTAGACTGCCCTCTACATGTTTCAGTCATGTGTGTGTGTGCTGTTCTCTGTAGCACAGCAAGGATAATGCTTATTTATTAAGACTGAAATGATTCCAACAGACCTTTAAAAAAAAAAGCCAAGTCAAAGACCTATTGAGGTTCACTAGAGAAGATACAAACCGCACACTAGAGCCCAACAATCTGAAAACAAGAAACCACAGATGTAGCCATCCCTTCCAAATGATCACTTGCTCACATAGAACACTCCCTGCTTCCTAAACACATAGCACTAACAGCCAACTGTGCGAAGGGAAAACAACCCCCCAGCAGGAGTCATATGAGCAAAAGGTTGTTTCTGTCACAAATGGGCTCAACATACTAACTTATCCATGAATATGCCATAGTAGCTACCTGTACACTTCTAATCATTCCATGATTTTCAGACTTCTTTGAATATGTTACAGAAAAATAAATCCTATCAACTTACCATTTTGACGTGCATCGGTCTGTCAAACAGCAGTTGACCGTTAAACATAGCTGATATCATAATTAAGGCTATTTCTTGCAATTCTAAAAACATGCACAGCAAGAGAGAAATAAGGGAGGAGGAGGAGAGGAGAGGGAGAAGGGAGCAAGAAATACTTCCAACTGTTACCATTCCCTTTAGGGGAGGCGTGGGGACCCTTTTACTGCCAAGGGCCATCTGAATATTTATAGCATCATTTGTGGGCCATACAAAGTTATCAACTTTAACGTTAGCCTGGTATAGACTTCTTGAAATTTTGAGTGCTATCTGCAGCTGCCTTGGCGGGACCGGCCCAAATGATTTTGCAGGCCTTACACAGCCCCACAGCCCACAACCAGACAGTCCCCATCCCTGCAGTTAACTGGTGAATACTTTCAAGTATTTGCTTCTATAATAAGCATAAAAGGGGCACCAAATAAAGATGAAGGGGGAAAGTTTCAGCCTACTCCTTAGGCGTGACACTCCATGCATAGTCTTGGGCTTTTCACAAACCACCCCCTTAAGCAATGGCATCAGTGTTCTGTGAGTGTCCAACGAGCCAGATATCCTAGCAAGTTGCAAAGCACTAAGTGCTCTGGCTCAGACACTCAGTGATGTTGTCACCTGAGCTTATGACTATTTCTATGTGGTACTCTTCACTAGGATTAAACAAGATGTGACCTGGGTATGCAGGGGGCCCGTGAGGGAACAAAATGATACAGCTGCTTAGGAGTAACAGTCTGTTTCCCCCTAGTGACACAGCTTTTGGATTTCTCCCTCCAAACCCACAATCGTCAGGAAAGCCTACTCATGGGCACAGCCCTTCTATCCCATTGTACTAGATTAATTCTATCTCAGAGAACTTTCAAATTCCACAACAACTCCCTCTAGTCACAGAGAAATGATGACACGCAGTCACCTCTTCCTCAGGCAAACCTGTTACTAATAGACAGCGTTTAGGTCACATTGTTCTGTGTGAGTGGAATCCTGGGAAGGATACATATAGCTTGCACAGCTTCAATGGACTGCTCAAAAGTCACAGTGCCTATTCCTCGACTTTTCCCATCTTTATCCTCCAGAATGTCTGCTCGGACCACCACACCAGCCATACTAAATACTTCCTTCAGTTTCTTCCAGCCAACTTTATAATCCAGCTGATCAAGAGAAGGGGGAGGGGAAGTAAAAGCCTTTATGTAAATATCTGAAGAAAAATTGTAAACAGTTTAGTATACATGAATCAGACAGGTTTTGGTTGGAAACAAACCTTGGGTGATGTTACCACAAACACTAATCAAGTGTGGTTTTTCAAACAGGACTCTGAAGCCCGCTATCTTTCCTCAGAAAACTGACGTAACACTTTAGGACAGTTATACTTTCTAAATGTTTAAAAAAAAAACAAAAACAAAAACAAAAAAACAAAACAAGCTTCTCTGCTAGGTCTTCACCATTGCCACACTCCCCCCAACTCCACTTTCTCCTGAAAATACATCATTTGTGGATGGAGTATAATCCTTCATCCAGACGCACCAGGAAGGCATCAGTACTCCTTTACCCATATACATTTATCCTGCACCTGAACTACAAAAACAAATCCACAGAAAACATGGACCTGGCTTCCGCTTTTATGAACTGCAAACCTCAGCAACAGATCCCTCAAAGGCACTGTGGTCACTCCTATGATTTAGAAAGGGTCTGACAAAACCCACCTCCAAGGCTGATTTTCAAATCAATAACAAAGCCCTCACATAAATCTTTCCTTTCAAACAACAGCATTACTTCTATAACAAGATCCTTTATTAAAGTTCTGATTTTCTACTTTAGTTAATGTTTCCATTTACTTACATTTGCTACAAATACTGTGCTTCCAAGTCTTCCAGCCTGTAATGCATGGATAATCTCATTTGGGATGTTAGGATTATTTAGGATACTGGGTGGGATATTAATCATTCCTGGGCCACCTGGTCCCATACCCATCCCACCAGTCGTAGCCATCACCTTTTGCATTGCTCTCCTGGCATGTTCACCATCAGGATCCTAAAACAAGCACAAAAGTGTTACATTTAACTGACCCAGGGGCAACTAAAACATGTTTTCAAGAAAGTCAACGTTCTCACAGCCTCAGAGATGGAAAGGCGGTTTGGAAAGCATTCCTCAGATGTAGTAGAAGAAAGGCAAATGAACTAAACCACCAACCGAGGAGAGTCCCAGTTAAAGAACAGGAAAGGAAGAAAGGGCATAAAATGTAGTGCTGAAAATGCAGCTTTCAACTGAATTAAGTAAAAAAGAAAAGTAGGAGGGGTATGACACCATTAGCTGACCTGAAGTAGAACGTCCAGAATGAAATAAGAAATTCATGGGCTTGCTAGAATTCAGTGCAGTTTTGTAATTTCTGTAAAGTCCATCAATGATTTTTCCAGAGGTTGAAACACTGTTCTAGAGTCCTCTGGATACCCAATCATTAGAAAGTCCTTTAGGTGTTGGTCTCATGTGTGTAGCTCTGAACAGGGTAACAACATATGGACAGGTGTGCAAGGCTTAGGTACTAACATGACTTGTGAATTCTCTGTCCTGGGATTTACCACCCTACTAGGCTTTCCTCTCTGAGCTCTGAATATATTAAATTTCCTTCTCGTGAGGGAGTTAGAAAGAAGTCAAGGAAGGATTTAATTAACAGCAAACACTCTCTCCCCTAGAGGGAAAAAACAAAGGCATTTGATTCAGACCAAATGGAAAATTTGAGTAATAATAAACTGACTTAAAAACAAAACAGAACAGGAGTGGGCATTTGGGCTAGCAGTTAGGATGCCATGTCCCACATCAGAGTACCTTGGGTCGATCTTGGCTCCAAGCTCCTGACTCCAGCTTCCTGCTAATGCAGACCCTGGGAGGCAGCAGCAAGTGATGGCTCAAATACTTGGGTCCCTGCCACCCACTTGGGAGATGCAGACTGAGTTCCCGACTCCCAGTCTCACCCCAGCCCAGTCCAGCCCAGCCCAGCCCAGCCATGCAGATCAAGTAAAGCAGGGGACAGAAGTTCTCTGTCTTTCCCTCTCTGCCTGTCAAATAAATAAATAAAATGATGAAAGAATAAGTTATGAAAATGTCCCTGAGACATAAAGCACTCGTGTAAGCAGTCATTCATGATCTGCTCCGCCACTATTCCAGAGTTCTTCCAGGAGTGACTGACCTCTTTGTGAAAAGCAAGAAGTTGGTCTACATTGTGAAATGCAGCCAACACCATTACTGTCCCTTCTTAACTTTAAACAGGAACAATGTAGGGGCCATTGTTGTGACACAGCAGGTTAAAGCTGCAACCTGCAATGCTGGCAGCCTGCACCAGAGTGTCAGTTTGGGGACTGGTTGCTCCACTTCTGATCCAGATCCCCACTAATGAGCCAGGGAAACCAGCAGAAGATGGTCCAAGTACTTAGGCCCCTGCCATCCTAAATGGGAGGTGAGGATGTTCCTGGTTCTTGGCTTCAGCCTGTCCCAACCTAAGTCATTGCAGCAATTTGTGGGGTAAACAGCAGATAGAAGACCTCTCTCAATTTCTCTTGATACTCTTTCAATAAATAAATCTTTAAAAAAAAAAAAAAAAAAACGGGGTTGGTGGTACTGTGGCATAGCAGGTAAAGCCATAATGTACCGGCATCCCATATGGGCAACAGTTCGAGTCCCAGCTGATCCACTTCTGATCCAGCTCTCTGCTATGGCCTGGGAAAGCAGCAGAAGATGACCAAGTCCTTGCATCCCTGCAACTGCATGGGAGACCCGGAAGAAGCTTCCTGGCTCCTGGCTTTGGATTGGCCATTGTGGCCATATGCGGAGTGAACCAGCAGATGGAAGACCTCTTTCTCTCTCTTTCTGCCTCTCTGTAACACTGCCTTTCAAATAAATAAATAAATCGTAAAAGAAAATGAACATGGACAATGTGACATGGTACCCAGAGTTAATCAAGAGCTTACTTCTTTTACTTTCAGTGGCCGTCCACTCAAACTATGCTTGTTTAGAACTTCAGCAGCTTTTTTCATGCTCTCTTCCATCTTGAATTCAACAACGCTACAAAGAGTCAAAAGGAAATGAGTGAAAACAGTACTATAACTCAGAAGGCTCAAATGCCAATAAGTAACTAGACAATACTTACGCACATCCCTTTGGAAGAAGCCACAGACCAGTCAGAAGAGCAAGGAAGGAGGGGAAAAAAAAAAGAAAAGAAAAGAAAATGTAAATATCAATGATGGTCAGTAACAATTGAAAATATGATTTATGTAACCAAGTTTTTAAAAGTTAACCCTTCTAAGGGGAAGCTGACAGCAGTGCCTGGCCCGGCCTTCCTTATTAAAGCTTGGCTCCTTAATATCGCCTTTGCCTACACATTACCAGCATTGCACTAGAATTGAAGTTATAATAAGCAGACCTAAATTCAGGTTCTCCAAGAAATCACACAAGCTTTAGATCTGCTTTCCTCTGTAACTCAAGCAATTCCTTATGGCGCTCCTCTTAAATCCATCCTTCCCATAAATTAAGCTCATCCTTTTGATTGTTCTAAGCCAACTAGGCAGATTTTGAACGTTCAGGTTTTTAATATTTAGTTTACAATTTACTGGCACAGAGGCAACTTTTCAGAATCTTTGGTTCACACAACTTTCAAATTCAGCAAACAACCAAGAGTAACATTTTCTAGACAAGAACACACATTTTACATTAATTATACCACCGCTAAAATTCCATGCATAATTCACACACAGCCAATTCCTCTGTTAACAAAGAAGACAATGCTGCTATTGGCCCCAGTTATCCAAATTGGGCATCCAAACAGAATACCAAAAAGCTCTTTGGCCAGCCATTTGGAAAAGCGGGACTCACATTTGCAAACCCCCTCCCGCCCCACTCGAATGTTGGCAAAAGTCAAACATAGCTACTATACATGAGCACTCACTGCCTTCCTGATTTCATTCGAGTCCACGCCACCATACAGTTACATTTGTCATGTAGTAAATCCACAGAAGAAATTCTCTCAGACACTTACCCTTGACTTTCCTTCAGCGTCCATTAAGAGCTCCACGTATGTTACCTCACCAACTACAAATCAGTTTCCAGACGACACATAAACCAAGGGAGAAAAGCCAAGAAAACAATGGGAATTTAGAACAATCATCAGCAACCTTGTATGGAGCCTCTGCCTTATAAGAAAGCCCAGAAACACTCCATATTCTCTAAACCACCAAACTAGGCATTACAGGTGTGCAGTAAAAGTAGGTGGAAACTCATTAACAACATGTCCTTGATTTTCCTCCCACCACAAACAAGCTATTTCCACAGATTTCCATAGCGATTTCCCTGTCCAGAATACTCATTCATGACTAGAGGCAATCCAAATCTACAGGAAAGAAGCCTGCATGACTCACTTTTTTGGGGAAGGGACGGAGTTTTACACATATGCTCTTACTGGTGAGAGCAGCGAGTGAGCACACAAGCTGCAATCCTTCCAACCTGAGCTCACACGCCATAAACACACAGGTCTGTATATGCCTGAGCTCAAAGTCATACACAAATGCCACAGGGTCAGCCTCCTGGGGGTGCCACCTGTGTTATCACAGAACCCCATACTCAGGAGAGCCCCACACTAGGCTTAACGGCATTTTCTCCATCTTGAAATTCTCAATTTTTAAATAAGAGGCCCCTCATTTTAATTTTGCAGCAGGCCCCACAAATCTTGAAGCTGGTCCAGCACATAGCACCAGGCTCCTTGACTGCAAGCAGCAGAATATTTGAACATACAGAGAGACAAAAACAGAGCAGCAACTGGATTCTCTTCAGTGAATCAAGCCAGGCTGTATTCTTGCTGCTTTCTAAACATCCCCGTGAAACACGGAAACATGTGAATGCAATTTTAGGGTGCAGTTTGCACCTAAGTAAGTTAAATACTCACAAGATTCTCATCTACACTAAGGGAAAACAGCATTTCCAAAGTTTCTGCAGCTTTTCCTTAAGGTTTGGATTGCCAATTCATGACCACCACGACCACATTAGACTCCATCAACACCACCACCACAGTGGCTGCTGAACTTGAAGATGGCACCAGTAAACAAACTTTAAAAGCACTGAAACTTGGAGATGTCAAAGGGGACTTTTGTTTTCATGGATGTCCTTTTTTTCTTTGAGGACTATTTTCACAAAGGTAATATAACCACCAGTTCAAGTGTGGTTTAGTAGTGCAAGGGTAAAATCAAACCACTTATGGCCTTGGGAAGGTCTACTTATTTCTAACTCCTTTGTCTAGACATTAAAATTACCAGGAAGATTTAAAAATTAATGTTATCAAGAAAAGGCTTAAAGAAAAGCAATAACTCATTAACATGTCCTTGTTTCACAAATAAAACTGGCATGTTGAAGGACATATTTATTAAAGGATTTGCACAGTGCTTAAGGCAAGAATGCCAACTGTTCAACAGTTAGCCTTCCTTGTCCTTTCTTCGAAATGTTACAGAATCAAACCTTGCACTTTGCACAAGAGATAAATAATCAGAGCAAAGAAATGAAGAAAGGAAACAAGGAGGATTGGTATAGCTTAATCTTTGGAGTATATAATCCTGGAGGAAAACCCAAAGACTGATCACAGCCCAGGGATGGAGTACAAATTGGCTTTACAGAAAAATAGTTTTAAAAAATCATAACCATTTCTGAGGCCACATTAAGAGCCACTTCAACAGCAGCAGCCACTGAAGGACCAACAGTCCTTATCTCCACTTGGATGAAAATGCCTAGTATCAGAAACATTGAAGAGAGATCCCCAAATGTATTCCCTTACCAGCTGTGACTACCACCTAGTAACTTAAAAGAATCATAAAGACAGATATAACCATGTTGTCAAGATTCAAACACTGTTGCATTTGAAGTTTCTAGTCTGCATCCAGAAAAGTACTTTTATCAAAACACTGGTACTGCAACCAAGAGAACAAACAAGTCCAAACCAAACATTTTTCCATGGTCATAACCATTATAATAAAATAGCTGGTTTAGAAATCAGATGTTTTTCCACTTAACATTCTAGTGATGGCACACACTCAACGTCAATCCCTTGCACTAAAAAATTGTTTAAAATGTCCCCTCTTTCATCTTCCTCCAAGCAGCTTAGCTGTTTAGAAATCACTCCAGCATGAGGAGTGCTGTCCCTGGGCTTCCTCACAAATTCATAAAATCCCATCAACAGCTCAGCATCTCACATCTGCAGTAGCTGCTAAATCCTACTTCCTGACAGGAAGCTAACCATGAAGGCTTTAAAGACCACTTCTCTTAGTAATGCAATAGTAAAGCTAAGACTTGCTTCATGTAGTCAGTACACCCAGCAACAGGAATTTGAAAGCAAAACTTGCCAACTCACCAGTCTGGTCACCTTCTACCAGATGAAGTTTAAAAGAGCAAACTATCTGAAGCAGGTCGGAGCTGGGACTCAGACAGAGGAGACAAGCCGGCAATAGCAGCAGTCTCACAGAATGAACTCGCGATTAACAACCAGACACTGCAGTTCCTCTCCTCCTGAACATGCATGGAACCCACGGAATTCCAAAAGCAAGCTAAGGCAAATCCTACTGCAGCTTTAAACATTAAAATATCTATCTAAATGAAAGACTCAAAAATTTCTAACTTCAAATATCATCACCCACCTTCATTTAAAAAACGTCCCCAAAGAAATTTGAACCAACACTGTGCAAATATAACACATCAAGAGGATGGGCAAGCAAGCTGAGAAGAACTCAAGTGGTCTGGAGCAACCACAATTTAACAACCTGGAACACATTTTATTTACAATGAGCATTTGTTTTTGAGCTTCCATTGACTCTTCAAGTCTAAAATAGACACCCCTCCCCCCCCCCAAAAAAAGAGGGACTACAGGGGCCAAAGCTTCACTGAACAGAATTCCCATGAATGACACCTATGATTTTTCAAATGGAGCGGGGGCCTTAAATGGAGGTATGCTGTCAAACATTCTTTACCTCACAATGGCCCACTCTAATGGGGGTATACAGAATAAATGCAGTTTAATTTGGAAAGCTTCTGTCTTTGATATAAAAGACAATTTGAAACGTGGCAAAATTTGACATGAGCACAAGTTAGAAAATGCATGAACTCATGCTTGCTCCCTAGCAACAGCAGAAGAGAGCACTTCCCCTCCACCTGGACTAAAGACCAGAGTGGACCACAAAGGCTGGATGCAGTGGGGTGGGGGCGGGCCTTAACCTCAACATTCATGTATGAATGCTTCCTCATCTCAGCCTTTCCAAAACAGGCTGGGTTTCCATAAAAAGGCAAATATGAAGGAGCAGGTAGACTGAGTAGACATTCTGCTTCCTATATCCACATCTCGAGATGATCTCCAAGAGCCTGCGGGAGTTGGCTTTCTGTTGGGCTATGTTTGCCCTCCAGGTCTCAGCTTTCTGTCGGCTGACATCTCAAATTTAAAGTCATACATTAAATACCAACAGAGGGATTAAGTGATAAAAGAAATCTTAGCTTGGGCTGGCGCTGTGGCATAACAGGTTAAGCCACTGCCTGTAATGTCAGCATTCCATAGGGGCACCAGTTTGAGTCCTGGCAGTTCCACTTCTGATCCAGCTCCCTAGTAATGTGCCTGGGAAAGCAGCAAAAGATGGTCCAAGTCCCTGGGACCCTGCATCCAGGTGGGAGATCTGGAAGAAGTTCCTGGTTTCAACCTGGCCTTCTCCCAGTTGTTGCAGCCACCTGGGGAGTGAACTAGTAGATGGAAAATCTCTCTGCCTCTCCCTCTCTATGTAACTTTGCCTTTCAATTAAATTAGTAAATCTTTAAAAAAAAAAAAAAAAAAGGAAATCTTTGCTTACACAAGTAAAACTGACTGCTGCTAAACATGGGATTGATTTGAGAGCAAACTCCATCACCGACCTTCTTTTCTTCCTCAAACTAGGTTCATTTTTTACTCATTTCTGGCACAGCTCAGTACTGCATGGGTTGCAGCTGCCCCACCCTGATGCTGTGGATCCCTGGTTAGGCCAGGAAAACAAGCAGCCCAGTGGCAAGCTTCCTTTATCCACAGGATTTCATGGTCTCAAACTAACATAGCACAACATTTAAATTCAAAATGCCCAGATTCACTTTTTGCTCTCAGAAATCTTTATTTTCTCCCAGTTTTTATGCTCAAACATTATCTGTTATGCTCCCGACTATTAAACCACTTTCAAATCTGGTTTGGCAACTCGAATGCATATTTCACATGTGCCTCCCAATTTTTTTCCCCCAATCCAGCAACTCAACTCTTCAGTGTTCACAGCAGCCACTTGTTCCATGTAATGCTCCCATTAAAAAATAAGCATGGCCAAAAGGCAAGATAGTCGAAACCTCCTCTGTCTTCATCAGGACCCACAGCAAGAAGGGGAAGGCAGCAGAGCAGCTGCTCAGGCAGAGTGGACTGTGGAAACAGTATTTAATCCTTGCCGCTGGCTGTGATGAGAAAAGGGGAATTGAGCAAAGCAGCAGTCTATCTCAAAACAAAACTCTCCATTTTCTCTTTAAAACTGGCAACAAGGGGCCAGCACTGTGCAGTGCCAGCATCCCATATTGGCTCCCGGTCAAGTCCCAGCTGCTCCATTTCCAATCCAGCTCTCTGCTATGGCCTGGGAAAAGCCAAAGATGGTCCAAGTGTTTGGGCCCCTGCACCTGCGTACATGGGAGACCTGGATAAAACTCCTGACTCCTGACTTCTGGCTCAACTCTGGCCATTGCAGCCATTTGGGAGTGACCCAGAAGATGGAAGATAGATAGATCTCTCTCTCTCTCTCTGCCTCTCTAACTCTGCCTTTCAAATAAATCAAAGAATCTTCTAAAAAATAAATAAAATGAACAATGTTGGATTTTGTGACAGTGCCAAACAAGCTCTGTGATTCTATCCAGGGGGAAAGACTTACGTGACCAGTTCATATATTATAAATAGGATTGCCTA